TTTTTTTAGGGTTGGTTTTAAGAATCTGATGTTGGCTTGGACTTCACGGAATCATAAAACAGGCCTCAGTTAGGAGTTCAGGTACAGAAGTAACCAAGGGGTGAAAGTTGGGTAGAGTAAGTGGCCTCAGACCCCACATACTACCTGCTGGTCAGCCCTTCACTCCAGACTGTGAGCCCCATCAGCGGGGGACAGAGCCCTGCTGGGCAGGCAGCACCAGGCTCCTGACTCCAGGTCAGACATCCCTCCCACCCTCCCTACAGCATCCAGATCCCAAAGCAGAGCAGAGTGACAGCCCTCCATACCTAACTCCCTGGCACTTCCGGCTTCTGAAGGGAACTCTGAATGGCTAATTGTGATTCACCACTTCATACAACCTGAAGTGCTCCCTTCACCACAGCCCCCACCTAGGGGACAGCTTCCCACCTAGGGAAAATTCGAGCATGCAGGACTTATTCACAATGGCAGGGGGAGCAGAGCATCAGCCTCCTCCTGTGCTGTTAGCCTCGGGGATTATCAGAAGAAAGGGGTGGAGAAGAGCGGTCTGGTCCTGACTTTCCCGTTACACCCTGGGTAGTTGGGAGTGGGCATACCCTGCCCCCAGGCTGCCTTGGGCCTGGTGGTCTCTGGAAGGAAGCTGCTGCCAATAGCCTGGACACAGAGCTGCCCGGAGAGCAGGGCCTGAGTGACAGGGAGGAGAGGAAGACTGACATTTCACTGTGTGACCTGTTTTAATATTTAATTTACTACTCACATACAATACATGAATAACATGAAGAGATTAAGTAATAAAATACATTGGGTTACAATTTAAACTATTAAAATGAATATGTAATAATACAAATTTACATATAAAAACATGACCGTCAAGAGGGGCAATTACTCTGGGTGTCAAATGTGTGCTGGGTTCAGGGGTGTGCATTTCGACACCCATTGTTCTCCTCTTTGGAGTTACCTCAGTTTACACTCATGATTTAGGGTGAGGTTATTTCAGAGCAGCAATTAATGACTATTTCTTAAGAAAAACTATTCTTAAAGACCACACACACACTCACACAGACACACACACACACACACAAAAATTAAAGGGACCAGGTTCAGCTCAAGATGATGGGAGGCAGTTACCATGCTCTCCCGACTTTCTCCGAAATTCCCACTGAAATGAACCAAGAAAGGAGACAATGGGAGAGCCTGTGTAGGGAGTGGCTAGGAGGGCAGTGCCCAGAGCAGAGGGCAGATGCCCAGGCAGCACAGGTGACATCGCTCTCAGGTTTCCCAATGCTAGGGTGCTTCTACACTACACCAGAATCCCGTTTGGCTCTCAGTGGGTCTGGGGTGAGGTCATGCCCTTTTAGAACCACTGGTCTGGGGACCAGCCAGCCAGGCCTCCTCACCCTCATCCCCCACGTGCACAGAGCCCCTGGGAGGATGAAGGGCAGCACCACCTTCCCCAGCAGGAGAGCCAGAGGTCTGCCTGGCCCCGAGGTAAACCCTGGCACGCAGGGGCCTGAGAGGCAGGGAAGGCCCAAGCTGCACCTGCAAGGTCCTAACAGTGTTCACAAAAACTCAAAGTCCATAAAAGCAAGCAGAGGCTTTCATTTTCATAAAACTGAATTGCAGCACCTCTCAGTGGTGCTTCCCCCACAATTCTGTCTTTGCTGACACAGAACTGTTTAACTGTGCTGAACAAAATGATTGTGATAGTCATTGGGTTTGAATTCATAAAAACAAGCACAGCTTATTAAGACGGAAATGTCACGCTATATGAGGTCTTCCTTAAAGTTCTCTTCAGGGGCAGGAAAAAGAACTTCCTGTTTGTTTCCCAATCAAAACAGGACAATGGACTTCTCTAAACAGGTGTCAGGAAAATGGAAGAGGGGCGTTTGAGTTAATGGCTGTCTTACCTTCGAAACTCCCCTCAATTTCTAGAACACTTCTCATCTAACCCTTTCTTGCATCTGTAGTCTTAGGCAGGTTGATTGAACTACATGTATAAGCTCTATTCAGACTACAGACACTTTACAATATAGTTCTTCATTAAAATGTGTTGGAAATGCTATTTGAAAAAAGCAGGATATGTCCAATATGGGCAGGAGGACTTAACTAATTGCGCTGATGCCTGGCCAGGAGAGTGCTCACAGAATCTTCCCATCCGTCATCACTCAGCCCTGCCACTGCTTTGTTTTTTGCTTTAGGATCATAAAAAATATCCAGGAAATAATTTGACCAAATAGGCAAAGTATTGCCCAGCCGGGTGGCTCAGTGGTTGAGCATCGATCCATGCAGCAAAAGGTCGCCGGTTCGATTCCCAGTCAGGGCACATGCCTAGGTTGTGTGCCTGACTCCCAGTGGGGGGGCATGCAGGAGGCGGCCAATCGATGTTCTCTCTCATCTATGTTTCTATCTCTCTCCTTTCTTCTCTCTCTAGAATCAATAAAGAAAAAAAAAGGCAAAGTATTTGCTTCTATTTTTGGGAGGTAGGGATGGGGAGAGTTCTCTCAAATACCATTGATTTGACATGTTATCCTTTCTATATTTTTTCTCATTTACTTCTAGAGATAATTGGCCTGGGTGGTAGCATTTAACTCCATTCAACACCAAAGTATGAACAGAAATGTCTCCTGGACAGCAAGGTGAGGTTGAAAACTGCACTTAAGCCCACCCCAGGGAGGCATTGTGTTCTCACCAGTGCAGTTCACAGGCGAGTCAGCAGTGCCCTCTAATGGCCACAGTGCACAGTGCAGCTCTTCCCATCCCCAAGTACAGATCCTGTTCCAATGTTCTCTTCGCTTTAAAAATGAGTTACACGGTCACATCCTCTCTTAATAAGCGATGTGACCAAGTTGTCTCAGGGTGGGAAATTAAAACCTGAAGTATCATCTATAGGCTGACTGTGCTCAGAATGACCAGGATGTCCGTAGGAATGTGCATTGGGAAAAGGTGCAGATGTCCGATCACTGGACATATTGTCCTCTCCCTCATAGCCACTGCCCTACAGGGAACAGGCCCTCAGGCTCCGGGGTTGTTACAGCCCAGCTGGCACAAGCTGCTGCAGGGGAGCACGCCAGCCTGTGGCAGGCTGCTTATGAAGGTCGGTGGAACCCAGCTTGGGTGCCCAGCACCTGTGTACTTCCTAGTGTGCAGACTCCTACGCTAGCCTAAAGCCCCACGCAACTCCTCAAACGCTTGTTCACTTCTTTATTCTTTTTTCAAATGATAAAACCTTACAGCATTCTGCTTAACTACCACAAATTACATCTATTAACAGCTTAAAATTGCTTTACCCTCTGAGGGTGACATAGCACCACAGGCAAGTTCAGGCCTACTTATCATCAGGTCACAACATAGATGCTGACAAACTCCACACACCAAATGGTCAGAAGAATGCAACCAGAAGAAAATGTCAGGTGTCACCTATTCTTCACCAACTAAAAGCACAGAAAACTGCTGAGGTTAAAAGAAAAAAAAAAAAAGTCAAAGAACGTTTTTGACAAATTCATCCACTAGGCAAATTTTCCAAGTGTCTGGAGACCTGCTCTTCTCTTCCTGACCTCCCTTCACTTGGCATCACTCTAAGCCAACTGTTATGTGGGGAATGCTCAGAGGTCACCACTCCCACAGGATGCAAGACCCAACCATCACCTGGCTGGCTTACCTCACTTGACCCTGCGGCTTCAAGCACAGATGGCCAATCCCTGCCTTCTTGGCTCTGGCAGGGAATCAATCACCAAGGTACTACTACAGCACCACCTCCTGCCAGATTGGTGTTTCATCCTCCCTCTGGAAAGTTATTTTTCTCCCTAGGCAAACACACACACACGGCTTTAAATAGCTTCCACACACTACCAATTTCCTAACTTCTGCCCTATTTTGTCTGAATCCAGAAGGGCTTGTAAAGGCTCCCTGCCACCTCCACTAGGATGTCTTGCAATCCCCATGTCCCAAACCAGCACAAAAGATGTGTGATTTCTACCACCAATCTGTGCACCCAGGAGCCCAACTCAGTAACCTTGAACCTTGATTCTTACCTGTCCCGCACTCCAGTTCGGGAGCTTAGCACTGATTCTACCTCCAGAAGATAAGTGAATCCCATCTACTACCATAATCTCTCCCCTACCTCTTGACAGGTCGCTGTGCTTCACCTTTGGTTCTTCTCACACCCCTTGGCCAGAGACAGCCTGAGGAACTGTAATCGCATGTGACAGCTCTGCTCAATCTCTAAACAAGCACACGGCTGCCCAGGTCCCAGTGACTGGCAGTTACCTGTACAACAGAACAAATGACACTTGTCCTTTAAACAGCATGTTCTGGCTGTATCAGCCTCCACCTGCACACAAACGGCTCTTTCCCTCGCAGAGCCACTCACCTGTCTAGGAGACACTCATCCCCTACTTTCAAGGCTGGTTCCCTCTTCTCAGGTCCTGGCTCAAGCGTTACCTCAGAGGACCATCCTTGACCAACACCTAGAAAGAGCGGAGTCTACCCTGCTATTCTACTGCAAACCTCCCATGTTTTATTCACTGAATTCACCAAAAATTTCAGCTGTTAATCTACTGGAGTGATTGCTTAGGGTTTTCCCCACCACCAGATCACGTCTTGGAGAACGTGCCCCTCACAGCCTGCTCACTAGGTCCTCCCAGAGGCACTGGCACGGAGCACATGCTCCATAAACACTGGCAGAAGAATGAACGCACCAACCAAAACCTTCCAACAGGCTACACAGAGTTGATCATAAATCTGTTTTTGTTATAATTACTTAAAAAAACAAAAAGAAGGAGTAAAACACTTGTCAAATATAATTTGTAAAGGGCAGCAACAGTAATTAAACAAAATATCCCATCCTGAGGGCCAATCAACACTTAACCATCTGGTCTCTGCTCGCACTACGAGCATCTTGGGAGATGCTCAGAAGGGTGAAATGCTGGCACAGCAGCATGTGCCTACCCAGAAGTCGGTCTCCTTCGGAATGGCCATCATCTTCACTAATCAGAACAATAATGTACATGGCTTACTTTTATTTTTTATTATAAAAAAACACATACAAGAGATTTAAGAAATGATGAATATAAGACAAATCAGAACCACGGTGAGTTATTAAACCCATTTTCTCTGTACAAATACTAAAATTCCGAAAGCGGAACATCATCGAATGTGACACACATTATCCACTGTCCGTATGTACACGGCGAAGAGCTCTGCCGCACCGGCCTCTGATCGGTATGTACACGTCACTGACACAGAACCTGCAGTGGACTTCTCCTGCTCAGTCTCCTTTTCCTGATAGTTAAATAGCTGAAGAAACTTTAGTTAAGAAACTCCTGTAAAGAAAACGCATTGCGGTGAGTTTCTAGAGGCTCCTCCGTGTTTTACCCGATCGGTTGCATACTACACCTTTAGAAAAACTTCTATAGCCCATTTCCAGCTAAGATAGTGGAAGAGTCTTCTAGTTCTTTTGTAGCCAATTTAGTTTCTCCTAGTCATTTGAGCACAAAGGCCAGAATTAGCTCAGGAACCAAATCAATGCTTTCATATTAAATTCATTAAAAAATGCCACTCAATTTTAAAAAGCGACTAAAAGGACACTTTCTGCAGCAAAAAGGGCTAAGTTCAAGTTTTTGTTGTTTGACCAAAACACAATAATACAATCCATACGCCACGTAATCATGACGGCCTTAAGTGATTTAATACGTGGTTTGGGGAAACACAGCTGTGCACTGTGCATTTCTCCTGTCTCCTTGACACACGGCGAGGAGAGCCTCTTCGAATTTTCTCTTTTGCGTCTTTTTTGTGAAACCTCAGTTTGCATTGCGAAAGCCGATTAACCTGTTTATCATATTCAGATACGTGAAGGCACTTCTCTAGGCGCAGTGCAGGCGGTGGCTCAGCCGAGCTCCTCCGCACACAGTGCACTGACTTCCTCCAGGGAGCTGACCACGGCAGAGGGGACGCTGTGAGAGGTCTCCTTGCGCCATGCTTCCAGGATCTTGGATATTTCTGCTGGATTGCTGGGACTCAAGTCACAAAGCGCATACACGGCTGCTAGCTGTATGCCCCATGGTATATCTGAAAGAATGTTCACATCCATCATTACATAAAAACATGTTCATTATCCAAAAATCTAATGGTGTAATCTACTGAACACTATTCAAATAAAAAACACTTTCTGCCAGCAATAAAAACTAAATATAAAAAACAAGACCCACAATAAAAAAATTAATTTAAGACCTGTCTACAAATGGGGGGAAAAATGCAAAAATGCAGAACAGCTCTGGGCAGTTTCCCGGTGCTGGTCCATGTGCTGAGAATGGCTAGCATGTTACGGAGGGCACAGGGCTGCAAAGCTCCTGCCCTTGTGTGACCGTTAGCTAAGCTTTCCAGAGCAGTGTGGAAACATTACACACCCATTTAAGTTTTAATAAAATGTAGATCCCAAAACATTCGCCAAATAAATGACTCCATTAAATATCCACTAGAAGTGTTTATAAAGGGACTTTGGAAGTGAAAAACTCAAAGAAATGAGAACAAATGGAAAGCTGTCCCTTGTGCCATACTTTCATACTAGATTATATGATTACAGGTGATCACATATAACTATACATTATAGTTAGGTTATAGATTATGGTATATTATAGGTCCCATTTAGCCTAAGTTTATTTGGGAGTTATTTAATTAAAATTATTAACTACCTATTTCAGATTTATGTTAGTGATGTAATGCAACACAGGGCAAACTGCTGCTATTTAAAACAAACAAAAACATCACAAAACCCACACATTAAAATGTAGACAGTACTACAGCTTTTCTTTTTTTTCCGTTATTGATTTTAGAGAGAGAGGAAGGGAGAGGGAGAGATAGAAACACTGATGAGAGAACATGGACTGGCCGCCTCCTGCATACCCACCCAGGGGATCTGGCCCACAATTCGGGCATGTGCCCTGACCGCGAAATGAACCTGTGACCTCTTGGTGCAGGGGTTGATGTTCAACCACTGAGCCACACCAGCTAGACAGTACTGCAGCTTTTTAAAAAGTATTCCCCGCTAATCTACAAGGTAATTAGAGCAGCACAAAGTGGGGTTCATAATAAGGACTAAAAAAAAAGTTTATGCCCTGACCTGTTTGGCTCAGTAGCTAGAGCGTCGGCTTGCAGACCAAAGAGTCACGAGTTCGATTCTGGTCAAGGGCACTCACCTCGGTTGCAGTTCAGTCCCCTGCCCTGCTGCTCACATGGGAGGCAGCCCATCAATGAGTCTCTCTCTCCCTCCCACTCTATCTGAAGATAAATGGAAAAAATATCCTTGAGTGAGAATTAAAAAAAAAGTCTAACAATAAAACAAATACAGTGATTTAAAAAACAATTTTAATAAGCAAGTAGGTGTGGAATTGGGTAATGAGCTGGGCTCTGGATCAACTGTCAATGCTAAAATGCAGCAAGACCGCAGCTTCTAATATTTCCCTTATCTCCTCATTTATGAGGCAGTGAGAGAGCAGAGCGTGGCACCCAGACCGAGTGATCGCAGAGGATGGTTAGTAAGAGGAAGGTGAGTTATAAACAGAAGTGTACCTTCATCCTGGGCGTGCTGTATGAACATACCGATAACCGAACTAATATTTTTCACAGCAGATGGAAATCCTTCCTTCAAACCCAACTGGCCTAAACGACCTAGAGGAAAAAAAAGATAAACCAAAATATGTTGATTAAATTTTCCTAAAAAGTTAAAATTTGTATTCTTTCATAAAATATTATGCACATTAAGTTTAATGATCCTGAACTAAAGTTAAAATGGGTACTTAGTCTTAAGTAAAAACAGGTTGAACAGTGAAGAATGAGAACTCAATAAAGCATCATTTGTCTCACAGGAGTGACTAAAATGACTAGTCATGTTTTTTATTCACACACACACATGAATATTCCATGGTCTGCTTTCTCAGTTAAGTTACAATAAATAAGGAGAATTTAGAAGAATGAGTGGTTTCAGTAGGCTCAGTGTGAAATGGCTGAGTTCTATCAGGTTAAAAGACCAACTCCAAGACTGTGGTCCCATCAACACACACTTTGGGATAACACTTTGCTGCTATAATATAGCTGTGTAACATACTGCTGTTAGTGTGGAACAGCGGCTCTCAAGTGTGGTTTTCAGACTCCCTGGAGTCCTCAAGGTCAAAACTATCTACACAACAATACTTAAAAGGTTATATGCCTTCTTTTCAGAGCTGAGACTTGGACTGACAGTGGAAAAGCAATGGGTGATCAAGGACTCTCAAGGCCAACGAAGGCAGGGGTACCACACTGCAGAGGTCATTCTTCATCACCAGTAGCTTGCAGTCAAAAAAGACAATTTCCCTTAAGAATGTCTTCATGAAGCAGTCATAGTTATTCCTGTTAAATCTAGTCCCCTGGGTACACAACTTGTGATGGAGGGAAAGTGCCCATGAAGCACCCCCCCCCACACACACACCAGGCACATTGCTTGTTTCCAGAAAAAGCACTTGTGCAGATGTTTCGACTGGGAGGAGTAGTTCCTTTTCCTATGAAACATCCACTTTTCACTGACAAACTGACTGACAAACTATAGCTATTCAGAATAGACTGAGGCAGACATTTTCTTAAAAATGAATAAAGTGAGCCTGTCACTGCAAGAAAATTCATCATTGCTGTCAATGATGAAATATGAGCCTTTACGCAAAATCAGAATTTTAGAAAAACTTCCATCAGCCACCCTGAGCCTGACAGCTTCAAATGCTTAAGATTTCTCTGATGAGATCAGCAATGATAAGAATATTTTCTTGATACTGCTGACATCTCGAAGATCTATGTGAATCAATTATTTTCCAAGTGAGTAATGCATGCTACAATCATAAGTGGGCACAAGATCCCTTCTATATGCAAGCATCTTAGACAGACGAACTTCAGTGTAACAGACAAAAAAGTTCACTGGTAACGAGTCAGGTTTCACACTGCCAAGCAAGAAGAATGTCCACAATTATCTGAAAAGAGGATAAAATACTCCTTTATTTATTAAATATCTGTTGAGAGACTGGGTTTTCTTCATACACTTCAACCCAAACAACCTACTGCAGAGATTGAATGCAGAGCAGATACGAGAAGCCTGCTGTCTCCCACTAAACCACGCAGTAAAGAGATCTGCAAATAGGCAGTGCCATTCTTTTGTTATTTTTTTGTTTTAGAAAGTTATTTTTCTAAAATTAAAAATACTATGTTAAAATGAGTTTATTGTTAATTTTAAATTAATAACTACTTTTAAAATCTCTCAGTTTTAACTTCTAATAAAATAATAACTGACAGCTATAACCTGGACTGACAAAAGTTCTCTTGGGGTTCTCACTAGGGGAACTAAATTCAACCAACGGCTAAAGCACACAGATGACACCCTTTATCAAGTCCTCATTCACCTGGATCCTTCCTTTAACTTGGGGGTCCTGCAGATATCAGCATACTTCAAAGCAAAATTCTCATCCTCTCCCTCAAGTCCAGGCCTCATCTTTTTCGTCCCCCTTTTCTCACTCAGGAGGATTCTGGGACACACCTTGGAGGTGCTTAACTTATCCAAGTCCTTAACTTATCCTGTGTCCATGTTCTCTCTCAATATGACTGTGGGGGCACAAACAATTATTTCTCTCCCATCTAAGTTCTCTTGGTTGGACTAGTCAAATTAACATGAGACAGATTAACAAAAGAAGATAACCAAAATGTATTACCTAACTACAGAGGTTCCATAAGAATATGAGACCCACGACAGAGAGGACAGACTGGGCAGTTGAAGATTCTATGCCATCTTAAACTAAGGAGGAGGTGGGAGTAGTGATTTGAGACATCAAAGGACAGAAGGCAACTCACATGGATATGGGAAAGAAAATGTTTGGTAAATCAATGTTTGCTGAGCCATCTTTAACAATGGGACAGAGAGAGGACTCTGATCAAAGGGGCCTTGCTGGGTTCCTCCCTGTCTACCACATCTACCTCATATTAAACTGGCATTCTACAGTGATACCTCCCTTCCTAGAGCAGGTCCTCTATCTAAATTCTTTTAGACAAGTTTGAAGAAAGATCAAAGGTTTTTCCTGAGTCTTGAAGTGTTTACTAAAAATAACCAACTTAAAATTATCAATATCCCAAAAGGCATATTTTGAAGTGGCAAACTCTGCTCCCCATCACTACAAACATCCCACCGGTTTATATGTGAACTCAGCCCATCACTCTCATCTCTATTTTGAATATGAGGCACAGGACACTGAAGGAATTTTGATTACTTTGTATCCCCTAAAGCAGTGGTTCTCAACCTTCCTAATGCTACAACCCTTTAATACAGTTTCTCATGTTGTGGTGACTCCCCAACCATAAAATTATTTTTGTTGCTACTTCGTAACTATAATTTTGCTACTGTTATGTCTTAGGCGACCCCTGTGAAAGGGTCGTTCTACCCCCAAAGGGGTCATGACCCACAGGTTGAGAACCGATTTAGGGCGTACAGGAATTAGGTTCAGGTTAGTGCAACCTAAATGCTGTGATACACAGCAGACGGTCAGCAAATGTCTATGGATCCATGAATACCTGGATAATTCTCAATCCAGGATGAAATTGTACACAACTGGATAATTCCTAGGCAATCTTTCACAGAGGATGAAAATAATGTACTTCAGAGATTAGAAATTTCAAGTTATAATCACTCTTAAAAATCTCTTTGCAATGATACTAAACTGCTAACTGCATGCCACCATATTAGGCCTCAGACAGTCTACCAAGTGTACCATATGCCTAACTACTAGCAGAGACATGGACAGGGCATGCATCTAACACAGCTGTGGGGTCACCTGGCCATGGGAGGTGTGTGCTCCCAGAATATAACTGACTCCACTATTACGGCTCACTTTCTTTCAACTAGAAGTGCTTGAAGAACTGGGCTTTATATGCCATTTAAATTAATGAAGAAATCTGGGGTAAAATAAATGGAAATCATAAGTCTGAGGTAGATGGTTTGGGGTAAAAGACTAAAATAATGATGACTTGACAAAGAAGATGGACAAATTTGCCAAAGAGATGGGGGGGGGGGGGAGTCTACCCACAGATGGCATATGAGTGGTGAGTCCAAGGCAGCTCAGCCATATAAAAATAAATAGGAAATGTGGTGTTAATTGCAACCTCAAAGGTAACACACTCCACAGTACCATTGGGGAGGAGAGCTGAGGGCCTGCAGGGAAGGTGACCCAGTCTATAGTATGGAACTAAGAACAAGACAGAGTCACCCAGGGTTTTATTCCAGATTTTAGATGCACATTTGCTAAGGAAAAGGTGAGTTGAGACAATTCTAATGAGAAAATGAAAGACCTGGCAAGGGAATGGGCAGAAACCAACAAGTAAAGGCTACTTCATACTTCAACCTGGCCTGCAAGAACTTGATGTGAGCAAGAGCTGTCCTAGCTTTTAGGCTCTGGGAATACCAGGTGGGCCATTTCAGGATTTAATATGCTCTTTGGGGTAAAAATTACAGAGCTTTACACTCTACAGAATCAGGAGGCAGATAAACTTCCATCCCAGCTCTGCTCCCTTCCCACTGAGTGTCTTCTAACAAGGGCTTCACCTTTCTAGGCTTCACCCTGGTCATAAAATGGGCAGATTAGATCAAGTTCTATTACTCCTCCTCTTCCTGTGAATCTAGAGCAATTCAAACATTCCCCAAATGGTTTCTAAAAAATTGTTAAGGTAGGTTAGAAGAAACCCCATTTAATAGTCATATATGACCACTTGGTAACAGCAATGTTCATCCCCAAACCCGACACTGGGTAACACTGAATCACTTTGACAGAATGCATGCTTTATTTCCCATGAAGGAAAAATTAAATTGACTACAATTTTGCAAATATGGAATTAAGAATAAAGACAATTGCCTTATTTTATGAATAATTAATAGTGTGTGACTTGCCAATATTATTAAATCATGGCCTACCAACTTAATTATTTACTAGAGTCTTTAGCCAATGTTAGCTTCATAAACTGCAAGAAGGTTCTCTAAAACCTTATTAGAAACAATTCAAACTACTCTACATTGATCTGCATGTGTGAGAGAGAACACATTCATCCAACCCTAATACCACTTCTCTGGACCCTGCCAGGTCTAAAGAGCAGGCCTCACCTGTTTTGCCCTTCCCCTCAGTCATCCCCGCAAGACTACACCCTCAGCAACCAGTAACTACTTTGCTCCAGGTCAGTCTTCAGTGCCAACAGATAACCAGGGCCAGCAAAGCTTAGCCACTGCTCTCCAGCACCCCCAGCCAAGACTAGAATAGCCCAGCTGTCCGTCTAGCCCTCTTTACACCTGTTTTTATTCAGGCACATTAGCTCAGCCTGCCCTGGTCCATCTGTAGACCTAAGCAGGATTCACTAATCCCAACCTGGTTAATATTTTCAACATTACACTTCCTTTGTACTTACCCATCCTTAGAACCACATTTATATATTTATACACTACCTTTCTATAACACAGTATTGATAACTATGTATTATTTATAATTACTAGTTATTCCTATAACATATATAACTGTATTAAACATAACTCTTAATTATGTAAGTATCAATTACTCTAAATAATACATATTATTAAATTTTATAAATTATTTTATCAAAAGCCAGAATTTTAAAGATTTAAAGAATAAACCAGCCTGAGTTTGACTAAAACTACAAGTCAGGTTTTCTCCCTACAATTATACATTCTCGTTTTTAGATAAACTATTAACACATTCTTCTTCATTCTCATATCGGTTACTTTTTAAAGTATATATTTGAAAGTATTTACATAATCTTGTGCAGTTTTGTTTGGAGGCTGAAAATTTGTAGTTTTAAAAGAGCTTCTCAGGCAATCTGGACAATCGGAGAAATCGCACAGGCACCAATGCACACAAGCTACCTGAAGGAGAGGCTCACGTGTGAGGCTGACCCTCCACCACTGGAACACAGAACAGAGACTGCTTTCATACGGTTCAAAGCCAACCACCAGAAGGAAACAGTCTTCCACTCTAATTCTCTCTCTTGTTACAATGAATACATACATAAACACATAACCAGTGCAATAGTAACAACAAAAATCTTATCATAATTTGTAAGTGTGACTTCAAAAAGCACATTTTCTTTTTGAAAATTTCATAAATACTTCATGTAGGCCAACATATGTATTTATAGATTTAACATCTGTTCTAATTCCTTAAATTCTCAAAAAAGTTTTGCAATTTAAAATGAATTAGTTCAAACTACGAACACTTTCTTGAATCCACAGGAAAAGGTGTGACTGACCCAGAATTCCCAGTCATACAGATGCCACCTGACTGGGAATCAGTGGCTCTTCTGTGTCCTTACTGCTTCCTATTTGGGACTAAAGTTATTCTTCAGGGTACTTTGAACTGAGGAAATCAGCAAAATGTTTGAGACAGTAACCCACTGAACAGTTTCATTTCCATTTCTGTGCTTCTATTTATCTTCTATTTCCAAGACATTCTTTAGCAAGCCTTTGATTCTCACACTGTCTTGTTTAGTAACTTAATTCCAAGAGAAATCTAGATGTCTACCTTGTAACCAGGTTATCTCAAATAATTTTTTATGTATTTAGCACAATGTTCCTATGTTTGCTTATAAAATATACAAAGTAGAAATGGGTATTTGCTGATACAGTAACAAAATTAACCAGGGATAGTATATTTCTTACTGTGATATATATGAAGACTTTCTTATACAAATAACTTAAATATTCTCAAACTTCATTTAAAATGGTATTATCTTGACTTTTTAATTAATTAAACTCTAAAGATACCTAAAAATCATGGTAATTATCTTCAAGTATCTGAAGGGCCTTAAGGCAAAAATCTAAGGAACCTTGGGTTGTGTGCCCAGGGACAATGAATACATGCTGCAGAGAGAGAAGTCAATTCAAAATACAGAGCCTGCTAATAATTCATAGATCTCATCTCTGATAATTCTGCAGAGCCTAGAGAATACCTTGTTAGAAATGAGGCAAAGAGGGAAAAAAGCAGGTAAAATTTAAAACTAAAGATGTGTGGTTTTAGGGAGGAGTAGAACCAAATGCCCAGATTTGAAGGTCCTTCCTTAAATCTGAGATTAAAAAGAATCTGTCTCATTTAAACAGTGATTTTAATTTCTGTATATTCAGCTTACAGGAAAACAAAACTATTTCCAATGATGGAAGTATATAAAGTGATCCTTACTGGGCAAGCATGAAAAAATAGCACAGCCTTATTTTAGAAACCTTATTTTGTAAATGAGATTACAGTGCAACTTATAGCAATTTATGTATCCTGGTGTGTATATGCAAGTGTGTACATGTGTATAGATTAATATTAGTATCTGAGAGGAGTTCAATTAGAAATAAAATGTACTAACATTGAAAATCTATGACAACAATAGATAAAAACATTAATTTTTAAAGAAAAGAGTATGAGTAAGGAGAATGAATTAAGTGCAAAAATACTCTAATAACTGCAAAATCAGTCATTATGACGAAGTTTTAGTCAACATATATTACACATTTATTACCTTACCAAAAATATTGTCAATAACAAGAAAAAATTTAACCCAAGAAATAACTCACCGATCAGCCTCAGTATTGATGCTATAATAATGTCAGGGATATATGCAATGTTTGCATGTCCTTTTCTGTATTTTATCCATTTATCCATTACAGGCCACAGCTCCTTACTACAAAGTAACAACAATACACATATGTGTGAAAGTATGCATGCTCATCATCACTCAAATATTAAGAACTTATCTTAAAATGGTCTGTAAGAGATAGACAATTAGTGAACAAGAGGCACTTCTAAAGATGTCACTTTACAGACACTGGATGCTAACAAACTATCCAATTATCAGGATATTTGTGCCCACACTGGCTTAAAAGAAGCTACAAACACTTATATTTGCGTCTTTATTCTCTGTTTTAACCCTTTTTATAAGACTTTGCATAGAGAAGCTGAATAACGTGTCCAATATAAAGGGAGAAATCCGGATTTTCACTTAAATCTTCCAGGCGTTCACATAGCTTCTGTGTTCTAAATGCCAAGAGTTTCCGCAGAAAAAGAAAGGTTAAACAGGCTATTTTGTAAAAAGAACTAAAGCAATGGAAATAAGAGTGAAAAATAAGCCCTGGCCCTTTTGGCTCAGCGGTTAGAGCGTCGGCCCGCAGACCAGAGAGTCCCAAGTTCGGTTCCCGCTAAGGGCATGTACCTCGGTTGCAGTTTGTCCCCAGCCCCAGTTGGGGTTGTGTGGGTGGCAACCAGTCGATGTACCTTTCTCACATCAATGTTTCTGTCTCTCTCTTCCCCCTTCTCTCCCTCTCGCTGTATCTGAAGATAAATGTAAAAATGTCCTCAGATGAGGATAAAAAAAAAATTAAAAACAAAAACAAAAACAAGAGTGAAAAATAAAAACACACTAGATGGATTAAAGAAACTTTCTAATCTCAGAAAACAGTGCCAATTCCTCTCTGCTTTCTTTTCTTTCAAAAATGTGTTTACGTCTTACATAGCATTTACAATATTAAAGAAGTTAAAATGCAGACAAACAAAATAAAAATGTAAACCAAAAGCATCCCAAACAACACATTCTCAGATAATTATCACTCTTGCAATCTGGGGCTTTCTTTCCTATATGTATGTAAAACACGGTGGAAGTGACCACAGTGCTTAGGAATCAGGGTCTGGAGTCACTGAAGCAGAGATCCTGATATTCAACACTGTGTCACCACCTGCGGGAGGACCTTGAATAAAACACCTCTGACTGCCACCATCACTGCTGGTCTTCTCTGTCAAGTCACTGGGGACAGAGCAGCCCCCTGCCTCCTGTGCTCCTGTTGCTCTTTTGAAGAGTCAGGAAGATGAGGCCCGGTAGGCACTCAAATGTCATTACACAGAAAGAAGGCACTGGATAGACTTCTGTCACTTTCTTAGTAACGAACTATGAAATACTTCCATGTGAATACATAAAAATCCATTTATAGCTACTTTCATATGGTTGTATCTCATTACATAATTCAATTTCCTATCGCTGACATTTAGATGTATATATAATCTTCCCCTAGTGTTAAGGAGGAAAAAAAAGGAGAGAACAAATTTCTATAGAATAAATTCCTCTAGTATCTCAAGGATATGGACTATTAATCCTTTGATGAATCTGTTTCAATGTCATAAACTCCATCAAATCAGCCTTTCTCAGTCAGGATTCCAAAAAAATTGAGAACTACAGAACAGAAATTTGAGTATCTTCTCCATTCTCTCAAAAATGAGATCTAGCCTGTGCCAGAATTCTAGATGCATAGAGAGATGTTAATACATCACTTATTTTTCTCCTGAAACCCCAGGTGAGAAGAGCTGCTAATCTGGAATTTTGAGGATTTCTGTTCATGTGGGGTTTTCCAGGGTATTTGTATATTAAGATAATGGTCATTGCCCTAGCCAGTTTGGTTCAGTGGTTAGAGTGTCGGCCCTCGGAGAGAGTTCCGGGTTCGGTTCCTGCTAAGGGCAAGTACCTTGGTTGCAGTTTGTCCCTGCCCTGGTTGGGGTTGTGTGGGTGGCAACCAGTCAGTGTGTGTCTCTAACATCAATGTTTCTCTCTCTCTCTCTTCCTCCCTCTCTCCTGCCCACTCTATCTGAAGATAAATGCAAAAAAAAAAAAGTCCTCGAATGAAGATTAAAAAAAACAAGATAATGGTCATTATATTCTGTACTACAAATATTTGTTGAGCACCTCCCTTGCATGGGCACTGTCCCACAGGCTGGCACATGCCAGTGAACCAAAGGGCTTCCTTCATGAGTCATTTCTCTTTGGGAGAGACAAACTATAATGAAAAGTAGTGACAGGTACCACAAAAAAAAAAAAATAAAATAAAGCAAGGAGATGTGATAGTGATATAAGTACTTTTAGGGTAGTTTAGTAATTTTCATCCAAATCAAAATATCATTTGTAAATGTTTCAGCTGCCTTAAACAGCAAAAATTATTCAAAGTACAATTCAGCAGTCATTCAACAGACTACCCTACAATTCAAGTAACCCAGCTTTACTGTAATTTAGAAAATAGCCCTGTACCTTATGATGTTATCGTGTGTCCAAATCCATTTCTGATGGCAGCAGAGCAGATCAATGGCAAATATGTACTCCCAAGTGTTATCACTTAGGTCTTCACCAAATCTTTCACTAGACTGAAATTCTGTTTTTGGACATAACTGGATGGTCAAAAGCAGCTTAGAAACCATGAAGCCAACATCTGCAGGAGCATTCTAGCAAAAAAAACCCACAAATAAATAAAATAAAATTTAGAATTTCAAGAATATCACATCTAATGTGAATAGCCTCAAAGAGTAAAACAAGCATCAGATAATCATTTACTTTTAAAGGACACCTTCTGAAAGTTGTATTTGAATAACAAACTACGTTTATCTTAGTTATGGCACATGTCCTAAAGTTATGCTAGAATGGTGGTTGATAGGCCAGATACAAAGCTCCAAGTAGGATGCAGAATCCTGTTAGGTATAAAAGAGGGTAGCTGCAATCTAGACTGGAATGCAAATTTAAATCAGAGATCTAAAGTTATTAAGTTATAATTTAAAAAATTTAAACCTTTAAAGAAAACTATAAATTCTGTCATTTTTCTGACTCATTTGTTTTCTAGAAATTCATAAAGTTGAATCGGACAGTACTAGACACTGTTATCTGTACTCCTTCACACTTATGCATGTTTTTTAGTATTTATCCAAGTTTTTGCATGTACTGGTAGTCTGCATGCTCCTTTTTATTGCTGATAATAATCCATTATATAGACATAGCAGTTTATCCATTCACTCACTGATAGACATCCAGGTTATTTCTAGCTTCATGCTCTAGTTAATGTGGCTATGAGTATTCGTACACGTCTTTGGGTTGACATAAATTTGACTTCTCTTGGGTAAATGCTAGCAGTGGATTTATAATTGTTTTTTTCTTGTGTTATTTTTTTATTGGGGTTTGTTATAAAAAATTACAGAGAGCTTTCAATCTTTTCTTATTTCTGAAAAAAACTTGGATTACCTGGTTCTTTAAAGATGAGGTAAAAATCAGGTGGAGCCTACACATGCTTTTTGTATAGTACATTTTAAACCCTCTTTTCAACCTTTTATGATAATTGGAAACAACAGGTTTATTTAAGTGTTCTCTCCTAAAACCAATTTTGGTTGGTTTTATTTTGCAAAATCATCCTAGGGTTCCAAATCTGCTGCTCTAGATTTGCAGGTGGTAATTTTCTCAGTCATTATTCTATAAATATAGATATGTCTTTATCCTTAGCCAAAATCTTGGATATTTTTTCTTTTTTCATTAATTTGAACTGAGCAGTTTTGTTAGTATTTTTAAAGACAATATTTTTTCTTCTATGTGTTTTTTGTTCTCTACTTGATTACTTTTATCACATTTTATACTATATTCTTTTTTCTAGATTCCATCTCAGACTTAATTTTTAAGATTATCATCCAACTTTATTTGCTTAATAAAGACATTTAAACTACTTTAATGAATGTAGGTTTTCCAAAAACCAGATCTTTGTTATGAAAGTTTCCCTTTTTAATTACTTCTGAAAGACTGCAATTATACTTTTGAGTTTCTATTTGTTCCCAGATTGTCCAGGACTGTGTATTTAGATTTCCAAATCACTTCTATGGAATTTTTATGAAATCTTTGAATTACTTATGTTAATTTTATTGATTATCAGAGAATTGTGAGTGTAGGACATTTACTTTTTAAAAATTAAGGTTTTCATGTGGTCAAACTCATGACTGGTTTTTGTACATGTGCCACATTTACAAAATGTGAAAAAATATGAAAAAAATACATTCCTAATTCAAGTTTACCTTTTATATTACTGAATTCTACTATGTCTCTACTGATTTTTGTCTATCAGATCTGTTGAAATCTGTAAGAGAATTTGGAAGTCTTGTACTATAACAGTATTTTCCCCCAAAGTATTCCTCATTTTATATAGTGTTGACTTTGTATTTTTATTTAATATGGTTCAGGGTAAATACATTTATTAAAATTCTATCTTCTTTTGTAAAGAATGTCTCCTCTTATCAAATCATCGCATCTAGCTTCATCCTAAACAGGCCAAAGGAGAAGGTTCCTTTGCACAAGTGGAGAACGATGCAGGAACCAAGTGCCCTGCAGGCAGTCTGGGAGAGTGGCATTTTTCTTTACTCTTTATAAGAAAATAGAAGTCTAATAAATATTAACATCAAAAACTACTAAGACATCAATCTAGATACTATATTAGCACATCAATCACTAAAGAAAAATAATACAATAAAAGAAAACATGGAAACAAAACACTTAGAACAAATATAAATTTCATCAACTAGAAAGAAAAAGTACAGAATATTCTTCAGAAAAATCTTAACAGAAAAAAGTTGACATACAATTTTTTCACCTGTCTTAGTATCTACTGTAGAAACAAAGTATTTACAGCTCTCCTCAGAGCTCTTACTTATACACACACACACACACACACACATAATCTCGTCAGTCATAAATTAGTGCACAAAATAAACTGTTAAATTAACACAATACACACAGGTCTACAATTTCTCCCAAAGGGTCTCATGCATACTTAATGAACAAAATGCAAAAGCTTAAGGCTGAAATGATATTTTAAAGGATCTAAATAAAGCAAAGAATATATTATCTCTAAAAAGCCCATGAACTAATAAAAAAACCAAATAACAGTACATGAAATCTACAAAGTATGGTATTACAAGAAGTAAATCTCACCTTTTCCCAGTTGAGAAAAGCTCTTAAACAGTTTAGAACCTCTCCTTTAGCACGTTGCCTGGCAACTAGCTGCATTGCCTTATTAATCACAGATTGAGAGATAAATATATCATGCCACATGTTTGCAATGAACAATGTCAATTTTTCTGACTCTGGAAAATCTGTAAGAAAGAAAAGAAGATAATAAACTTTTATGTCTGATCAAGTGAATAAATAAATAATAAACTAAGAATATGTTAGTAATTTTACTTGTGCCTTGCAAGGTCTGCTACGTAATGAGGCCCAGCCTCAGTTATTTAAAAATCTGCTTCTCTCCTTTCCCCTTCTTCCCTTCGGCAAACTTTCTTTAAATTTGAAACATAATACATGGATATACACCACTGTAGGAAAAGAGCAATAAACTCTAAAACATGAGAATCAGGCAACCATCCTCTCTCTAGCCTCTGATCTGTTACTTTTGAAATCCTGTGTTCATCTAGTTATACTTCCTATTCTCCCAGTCCCAGAACCTTTCCATTTAGTTGCTGTCATTTCAGGCCATTTTTTTGTACATTTATAAGATAACGTACTTGTAGAATAAATTAAGCTTTCGATTTGAAAAGATAGGTTTTTTTACTATTTTCTTTTTTTTTTTCCAAATCTTTATTGTTGGATGTAAAATGTATTACAGATGTTCCACATTTTTCCCCCACTGACCCCCTCCTCCCCACTCCCGCCCCCCTCCCACCTTTTCCCACACTATTGTCTGTGTCCATTGGTTATGCATATAAGTTCTTTGGTTTATTTCTTCCCACCCCCCCAACCCCTTTCCCTTTGAGGTTTGTCAGTCTAGCAATGAATTTGTGCTTCTTAATCCCTTCATCTTTTTCACCCATTCCCCCACCCCCCTTCCCAACTGGCAACCAACAAAATGTTCTCTGTATCTATGAGAATGTTTCTGTTCTTCCTGTTCATTTTGTTTGTAGATTCCATTGTTGATAGATATGTATTCATTGCCATTTTGTTTGTTCATACATTTTATCTTTTTCTTCAAAAAGACCCTTCATCATTTCATATAATAATGGTTTGGTAGTGATGAACTCCTTTAACTTTTTCTTGTCTGGGAAAGTTTTTATATGTTCATCGATTCTAAATGACAGCTTTGCAGGATAGAGTAATTTTGGTTGTAGGTTCTTGGTTTTCGTCACTCTGAATATTTCTTGCCACTCCCTTCTGGCCTGCAAAGTTTCTTTTGAGAAATCAGCTGAAAGCCTAATGGGAACTCCCTTGTAGGTAACTAGCTGCCTTTCTCTTGCTGCTTTTAAGATTCTCTCTTTGTCTTGAACCTTTTGCATTTTGATGATGATGTGTCTTAGTGTGGGCCTCTTGGGGTTCATCTTGTTTGGGACTCTGTGCTTCCTGGACTTGTATGTCTGTTTCCTTCACCAAGTTAGGAAAGTTTTCTGCCATTATTGTTTCAAACAGGTTTTCGATTTCTTGTTCTCTCTCTTCTCCTTCCGGCACCCCCAAGATGCGAATGTTGGCACGCTTGAAGTTGTCCCAGAGGCTCCTTACACTATCCTCATTTTTTTGGATTCTTTTTGCTGTTCTGATTGGGGATTTTTTGCTTCCTTATATTTCAAATCGATGGTTTTCTCCTTGGATTTACATACTCTATTATTGAAGCTGTGTAAATTATTCTTTATTTCAGTTAATGCCTCCTTCAATTCTAACTGTGTATCCATGATTTCTAACTGGTCCTTTTTTATGCTCTTGAGGCCCTCCCTACGTTCCCTGAGGTTCTCACTAAGTTCATTGAGCATCCTTATAAGCAGTATTTTGAACTCAGTATCTGTTAGGTTGCTTATCTCCCTTTCGCTTAGTTCTTTTATTGGAGTTTTGTTCTGTTCTTTCATTTGGGACCTGTTTCTTTGTATCCTCATTTTGGCTGCCTCCCTGTGTTTGTTTCAGTGTATTATTTAACGAGAGGTATGGGGCTCGCTGAGACCAGATGCTGCTCGTTTGAAAGAATTTAGGAAAAACCTGAAGCAGGATCCAAGACCGGCCAATCCTATGGTTAAGCAAGTGGCAACAACTTGGGTGGGCTTGAAAGTTGTGTGGGGCAGGGCGGGGCCTCAGGGAGTCAGCAGGGCGGGGCTACCAGTGTGAGCCAGGTTGCTGGAGTCCCAGATGTGGTTCTGTCTGCCGCCCCCGGGAAGGGCTCACCAAAGGAACAAAGGCCTCTTACAGCACGTTTGTCCCCGAGGAAGCCCCCTCTCCAACCCTTGGCTTCCAGCCCTTGCTCCATTGCCAAACAGCTCAGTTCTTCCCTGTATGTCTCTGGTGCCCCTTGAGCTGCCTCCCCTCCAAGCTTAGAGGGAGAGAGTCTGATAAGTCCGTGCGCGGGCCCTTTAGGGAGCTACCTGGGGCTCCAGCCGCCTCAGCTTCCCTGAGCCTCAGTTTCCGCTGGTTTTTCCAACCAGAAGTTATGGGGACTTCTCTTCCTGGCACTGGAACCCTGAGCGGGGCACCTGGTGTGGGACGGGGAGCCCTGAGTCCTCGGGAAGGACCTTCCCAGCTGCGGGAGCCTCCTGATTTTTATCCACCACACGTGGGTGTGGGACCAGCCAGTATCGCCGCCCCTCCTACCAGTCTGGATGTAGCTGCTTTTTTTTTTAATTCCGTAGTTGTAGGACTTCCATTCAGCTTGATTTCAGGCGGTTTTAAATGATGGTTGTTCTGTAGTTTAGTTGTAACTTTGATGTGGCTGTGGGAGGACGCGATACCGCGTTTACCTATGCCGCCATCTTGACCGGAAGTCCGTTTTTTTTTACTATTTTCATTGATTTTTTTGGAGAGAGACAGAAACATCGATGTGAAAGAGAAACATGAATTGGTTACCTCCTGCACACCCCCTACTGGGGATCAAACCCACAACCTGGGCATGTGCCCTTACTGAGAATCGAACCAGAACCTCTCAGTCCATGGGACGATGCTCAATCCACTGAGCCACATAGGCTGGGCTGAAAAGATAGTATTTTATAAATTATGAATGATAATTCTTTGTTGTATATACCTTTTCCCTCACTGTGGCTTGTCCTTTGTTTGTTCAATTAATTTAACTGAGGTACAGATTACATACAATAAAATACACTTTTTAAGCAGAGTTGGATAAATTTTGACAAATGAAGACACCCATGTAACCCCCACCACAATCAATATATACAACACTGTCATCATCCCAAATTCCCATCATTTGAGCCTTTCCTATGAATCATTTCACATAAATACAGCCAACCATGATCTGCTTGCTGTCACTTTAAATTAGTTTGCCTAATTTACATGTAGCACATGTATCCTTTCTGTCTGGCTTCCCCTCAGCATAATGTTTCTGTGATTCATCCACACTGTTGTATGCATAAATAGTCCGCTCCTCTGTTTGGTGAGTAGTATTCCATTTCTTATAATCATTCTTGCTTTTCATTCACCTGTTCATGGACATCTATTTCCAGTTACAGGATATTATGAATGAAGATATATGAATATCTGTGTACTAGTCTAGGTGAAGATATATGTCTCTATTTCTGTTGAGTAAGTACCTAACAAGTGAAATTTCTAGGTCTTATGAAAAACTAATGATTTAATCTTATAAGAGACTGTCGCCCTGGCCAGTTTGGCTCAGCGGTTGAGCATCAGCCGGTGGACCAGAGTTCTGGGTTCGGTTCCCGCTAGGGGCACATACCACACACACACACACACACACACACACACACACAAAGAAACTGTCAAAGTGTTTTGCAACGTGGTTGTACCCAGTCAACATGAAGATTTTTATCCTATTTGATGTGAAGCCACATCTTTTAGATTCTCTGTTCTACTGTAGTTAACATTACGATGTGTTTAAAGAGTGGGTAACCCAAAGTATAAACTGCACTGTTCTGATCTGTTACTTCTGAAATCCTGTGTTCATCTAGTTATACTTCCTCCTGTCCCAGAACTTCTTCACATGTTGTTCCCTCTACCTGGAATTCTCTCCCTCACTTTTCTCTTAGGTATTCTTGTGCATCTTTAGCTCTCAAGTTCAAAAGCCACTTTGACAAGGAAAGCTTCCCTGACCTCTCAAATCTGCCTTCCATAGGAAAATCCATTCATTCAACAGATAATGATCATGCACAATGCATTTTTCTGGGGTGGGAATATGGTAGAAACAAGAATAACAAAATTGCTGTCCTTACACAGTATGCAATCTAACGGAGGAGTGAGATAGCAAAGAAACAATGTAAGCAGGGTAAAGTGCCATGAAGGAAAAGGAGAATAAGGGATAAAGAATGACAAAGAGAGTATGTGAAGTCATAGGGTGAGCCATAAAGAAGCTGTGGGGTAAGTTTCCCAAGAGAGAAACCTGTAACACAAGAGCCCAAAGTGAGAACAGGCTGGTTGTGTTTGAAGAAGAACCAGAAACCCAGCTTCTGCTTAGAAGAGTTTGTGCCCCTCTCCTTTCTGCTGCCCACCACTGATACAACCCGATGTGTGTTTGTGTACAATTACCATGTATTGGGCCCAATGAATGGTCATATCTGGTTTTGGTCCCCCTTGAAGTCCTAACACTTAGCATGCACCAGTAATTATTTGTTGAATAAATCAGTGACTAAAAGAGTAAACAAAGAAATGAAATGGGCAACAAACAGCAGCCTCATTCACAACTCTAGAGTTGATGGATACATTCAATTAACCTGATTTATAAGTCCTACAAACATTATGGTAATAAAAGAGTATAAATCTTTGCAATCTAGACAAAGACTTTCTGACATAATATTAAATTGCATTTGTACACCACTTTACCATTTAAAAATGTCTCTAACGATAATGATAAAATGAAGAATGACTCCTAAGCTGATCATCAGTAGAGACTGAAGAAATGGCAGGAAAGGGAAAAGAGAATCAAGGACAGCCCTCCTTCCATTTATCTGATACTCTTCTTTTCATGAGTTTATGAATCCATCTTATATTTTCTGTCCTTTCCAGTTGATGACACAGCAATGTAGTTTGTCATTACTTTAAATCATTTCCTTATCTTGTGTCAACTATATCAGATTCTAAAGTAGCTGCACAAGGAATAAAACAAATACACAACAATGAGAGATCCTGTACTCTATACAGGATGTATACTCTGTACAGGTGAAATGCTAGCATAAATAAGTTTGAATTCTCCTACTGAAAATCAGGAATGGACAAGTAACCTAAGACTATACATGCTCTCCGGTAATTGTACAAACCATTTACACAATTAAAAAAAAATACACAGCACTAGCTTAGCTAAAAATACAGATTCAAATATAATGAGGTAAAAAAAAAAAAGCAGTAATATATATTCAATACAAAAATGACACCATGTGCACATACCTTCCTTAAGTAGGCTGTAGCAGAACAAGCGAGCTCTTTCCACATCTCCAAGTTGCCGACAAATACCCACATACACTCTGCAGAGTGCATGAATGTAATTGTGCTCCAGAGATGTCTTCTGGAGTTTTAGTTCTGAGAGAATAGAGTGAAGCAAGCACTCCGCTAAATGCTGGAGTGGGGAGAAAAAAAGTAAAAAGGTAATGTACAATGATATTTATCTTTAGCCTACTAAAGAATAGCTAAGCCCTGGCCAGCTGGGCTCAGCAGTTAGAGCATTGGCCTATGGACGGAAGAGTCACGAGACTGATTTCTGGTCAATGGCACACACCTGGGTTGCAGGTTCCATCCCTGGCCCTGGTCAGGGTCTTGCAGGGGGCAACCAATCGATGTCTCTCTCTCTCTCTTTCTCTCTCCCCTCCCCACTGCCCTTCTCTCCCCCACTCCCTTCCACTCTATCTAAAAATCAATGGAAAAATCTCTCCGCAGGTGAGGATTCACACACACACAAAGTATATCTATAAGTTATAAAATTTGGTATCTACTGGAAAAATAAAATACATACTCTATCAGAAGGTAGGAGAAGGCAATAACCAGCAACAACCAGCTTAGCAGGTAAACCAAGGGGCTCTGGGGGATAAGTTAACACCTGTCAGGGGCCTGCAGTCAGCAGTGCTGCAGGTGCTCGATGGTAGATCAGAGCATACTTAGATGCCTACTGTCACTCCTACCATCCCCACCAATTATATACTGTCTTGGTTTTTCCTACAACGATTTGTGTGTGTGCGTGTATTAAACCCATTCTATTCTACTCCCTTCTTGTTCTCAACTCCAGTGTACTCTACACATTTATCCTGTTCAGACATTAAAATATTAGGTACCATTTTTCTTGCTCAGGAAAAAAAACATTAAGTAATTTGACATATTCATCCATTTGAAAATAAACATCTTTTCAAAGTTACTTATACTGTCCTATATGCTTTCTAAAAGTCAATGATCTAAGAAAAATATTTCTACTGTTGTGACTTGGAGATTGTGCACAGAAATAATAAAGCACGACTGCATGGCACTGGAAGTCACCCACACAAGGTATCAACATGGGTATTTAGAAAATGTAAGCCTGTGGAAGTCCTAATAAACTGTAGTAGATCTGCACAACCCCTATCTTGAAACTGAGTAACTGCTGTTTGATTTACAAAATACATTAATAGAGAAGGGGAAAACCAAACCCACATGCTGTCTTTCTGAAAGACTATCAAACTCTCAAATGTGTATATAATACTATTCACAGAAAAGAAAGGCTCTATTACGTGATAAGCATTTGATGTTTTCAAGTAAATAATTTCAACCCTTTAAATATGTCAGAATCTATGGGAAATATGCTATGCTATTTTAGTTCTGATGGATAGGTTTTCTTTAAAATTGTATTTGATAAACACAAATTATCAAATCTCTAGTGTCTTACCACATCTCAAATGTATAAAATCCTGGCTAGAAATAAAATATAGGCCTCACTGTTTGTATGGCTAACTGTCCATTTCTGAAATAAAACTTCTGTTGGGGTCCTCTGCCATCTTGCTGACAAAAGACAGCCTGTCCCTGAGGATGAGCAACTCCTAAGCTCACAGAGAACAGCTGCCACCTACCTTCTTTGTTGTGCTGAAGTCATAGACAACTTCTTTCTCTTGATCTCTCATTACAGGCTTTTTGGAGATATTTCCCACATATATGTGACTACGAATGACAGGCAACAGGTCAAAGGAGGACTCTGCAATCTTCTTCAGGGCATCAGCTATGGCTTTATCATGGGACTCCACAGTTTCTTTGGGGTTCAGAGGCAACTGTGAGACTGTACTGGCAGCCGGAACAGAACTTGGTTCCTCATCTGTCACTGCAACTTCAGCTTGAGGGAGGTTTCTGCGGGGGTGTTTGTTGACTCCTTCTGGAGTGATGCTCCCAGTTTCTGGTTCTGGGGACGCGCTGTCCAGGCGCAATCTTTTAGCACTCCGCAGTGTACAAGCTGACAATGTCCTCTTTCCACTTGAATCCTGTTGCGTTCCCAACTCTCTTGACTTATCCTGGTTACAGTCACCACCTGAGCTGCTCCCTGTTTTGACAAAGGCAGTTGACATGGAAGTGATTGCTTTGAAGCCAGTTATAGCACTGACTGGCCCTGGTAAATTCTGACGGTCAGCAGGTGGCCCTCGGGTGAGCTGAATATTCCCTTTGAGGATGTTGAGAGTGCGGGCCCTGGCAGATAATTCTGGGTACATGGTGTCAAGGATTTTAACAGAATTCTCCTGGGGCGCAGCCACAGTAGTGTGGGCTGATGCACAAGGAGGCAGTCTGCCGGGCACAGGGAGAGCATGCTTTGGGGTGGTGGCACAAAACTGCAAAGGCGATGACAATATCCTCTCCCCAGTGGGTACAGCAGATGGGGATGGAGATGTACACAAGGGGGAGGCACGCCCTGGGTCTTCCAGCAAAGGCGACATCACAGATGGCATTGGGATCTCATTCAATGGAGAAAGCTGGCCAACAGGAGAGGTGGGTGAGGAAGGACTGGAACTTGATATCAGAGGAGAAACTGGGTGTGAAGTCCTAGGAGGAGTGGCAATCAAAGGAGCAAGCAGGGGCGGCAAAGGGGGCCCCACCTCCTGCCGAATTTTACTTAGAGTGTCAGCAGAACAATCTGTAGGGGTAGAGGTGTCAGCATTGTCCAGAATGGTCTGAGTTTGAGGTCTCTGGGTTTTTGTGTTACCTCTGTCACCTGAAGATGACTGAGAAACTTCACCTGGGTTAGTTTCAACTCTGCCAGATGCCGAAGTCTTTACTGGTTTGTTTGTCTGATCTTTGTTTGAAATCTTTGATCGATTCTTGTTTTTGCCAAATGGCTCCAGTTTCGAGTTATAATACGTGTGATCAGACGCAACAATCTGAGACTCAAAGATCTGATCATAAATTTCAGAACTAATCCTTACACTAGGTTTAACAGGTCTATTCCGCAAACGACTTTTATCAAAGTTAGAACTCTGGCCACTGCTGGAAATATCCTCTTGGGTGCATGGAAGATTACTGTCACATGGGGGCTCCTGAAATGGAGAGCCAGGGTGGCTGGTCTCTGGGGACTTGTCCACAGAAGTAACGGAAATGAAACCAGCTCCCGGCCCTCCTCCATCTGGGGAAGCAGGGATGTCTCCAGGGGTGTCACACAGGATAACCTGATCCACATTTGGCACGAGTGGTACCCCGTTTATGATGGTCCAGTTGTCCCCCTTTTCAATGACTAGATTTTGGTCCTTATTTATCAGCACATTTATAACTTCGGAAGTCACTGTAGATATCTGACACTGAAATGTCCTTTCTGTCTCACAACCAGCACTGTCGTCTATCTCAGAACCCTGGGGTGGGGGCTCCGCTAGTTCTGACAAGACCTCGTCCCCACTGTTGATCAGCCCGGTCACATCCAAGTTATCCTCAGGTCTGTCCTGAGTGTTTTCAATAGTAGATGCCCCGCCAGTGGGCGAACTGTTCAAACCGTCTGTTGATGGGGGTGGGTCTGAAGGGTGCAATGAGGAGCCATCTGTTGGCTGAGGTGAGGCTTGTTCTTTTATGTGTTCGGTTGCTAGGCTGTCATGTATACTGAAGAGCAGTAAATTACTAGCGTCTTTCACATCTGAGTCCTCATAGTTGGACTGAAGTTCCTGCCCAATCTTGGTGAGCACCTCAGACAGTGTTTCCAAAGAACACTGAGTGAGCTGACTCGCATCCCTTAAGGAACAATCATCTTCCTCTGATTCAATCCACTCTTCACAGGTTTTGAGTGTTTCTTCTTCACAGAGTTGCTTTCCATACTTTTCTCCTGGTATTTCACTTTGCTTTAATTCTTTGTTCATTTCTTTGTTTAGGGTTTCTTTGCTAGAATATTCAGAAACAGAGTCCCCTGAACTATAATCTCTTAACTGACAACTTTCAAGAAACATAACCACCTCTGACGTAGAAAGTCTGTCTATCTCAGAGAGTGTACTGATATTGAAGTCCTGCAGTGCTGAAGTCAGACAGCCCACCTCTGCAGAAGGCCTGGTCTCGGCAGCACTAGCATCCGCAGCTCCTACAGTTCTTCTGGAGGCCTCAGCGGCATCCTGCTGCTGCTTACCCATTACGGCTTCAGGCTCATTTTCACCCTCACTGCAGCTAGGGGCCTCACTCTCCTCCACTTCAGTGTCACCACCTCCCACCTCCCGAATGCCTGTGTAACAGTACAGAGGACTAGGAAGGCTGCTTTGGGGGATACCATGTGTCTCATCTTTTCTGCCAATCGCTGGTAACAAGGCAGCACCTGTGGTGCCCAGACCTTCGGAAGCACTGTCAGGAGTTGGCGACAGCCGTTTCAGAGGCTCTTCCAGGCTTTGCTCTCCTCTAGGAGAGTCCTTTGAAATGGCCAGGGCTTCACCACCCGATCTGACTCTCTCTCCACAAGATATTTCTTCAACAGGAACAACTCCTGACGCTGCCATTTCTGTGGCTGGAGAAAGTGTTTCTGCACCGATCCCAGATGAATCCAGGTCTGTGGTATTTAGACATGGATGCTGGTCCTGCAATTCTGTCTGCACTGCAGGTTCCGTCATGTTTTGGTTTGGGACTGGGGTAATTTCAGAAAAAAAAGATAATTTACTATTTGTGGAACAATGAGAATTTTCTCCTGGTAAAGAACCACTTGGAGAATCAAAATCTAATTTTCTCCAAGTGGTGGATCCTTCTGGTGAAGTCCTTTTTGTAGTAGCCACCTCCTTGATGTTCTGGGTTGTCTCCTCTCTTTCTCCAAATCTTGCTATAGATGTCACATTAGCAATATTCTCTGTTGCTGAGGCAGGCTCCTTCCTATGTAGTCTTGAAGGTTCTGATCTAGCACTCTGTGTCGTTTCAGGCCTGGCCTGCTTGGTGATAACTGACACTTGGTTAGGCAACAATGACACTGACTCTCTATTGTCTAAGGATGGCACTGCCTTTTGTAACTGATGGTTGGTCTCTTGTTGATGTTCTGACTTAGCTCTCAGCCTTTCTTCACCACCTCTCCTTAACAGATCACTATGGTGCCAAGAAGTGCTTTTAACTAAACCAAAACCACTCTTGATCAAGCCTGACTGAGACTCTACTAATGGTGTGAAATCTGACTGACTTGGTGTGAGCTCAACTCCTGGACCCTGGTTTTCAAACTGTCCACTTTTCACGGCTTTCATAAATACTGACTGAGGAAGGGCACACACTTTGGTCATACCTTTTACAACTTTTGTACATTCTACTCCACTACTACTCTGATGACAATCAGATGCTCCTAATTCAGGGTTCATAGCATGCAAGCTATTCTCTGGGTCATTTGCTCCTGTAGAACACTCTGATGGCTCAGACTGCAGACCTAACACATTTGAAGTTCTAGCTTGTAAATTCTGTTCTGAATGACACACTTCTGTAGGGATTACTTCAGTAGGAACATGAGTCTCATGACCACACTTCAACCCAGAGGAAGACTGGGGATTATTGTAGACAGACAATGCTCCCGAGGTAGAAGAGGAAGAACATTTGGCTTCAACATCAAGTTCTGTTGCATCCATTACATCACCTTCAATTTCTTCAGATTCAGGTGATTCTGTTAAAACAAACCCTTGCCTATCTTCTCTTTCCTTTTCCAATTCTCTAGATATTCCTTGAAGATGGTCAGAAACTGATATGTGATCTGATTTACAAGTGGTTTCATTAGGTGGTGTCCACTTAGTAAAGTCTGATTTAGGTGATCCTATCATTCTGGACAATGGAGTTTTTCCTTTGGATCCCATGAGTTCATTTAATGGCCTCCTGCCAAGGGGAGAATAACACATTTCTGACGTGCCAAGGGCTGCTTCCTTCCCTTGTGCTAGGCTGCCAGACGACTTCTCCATACTCACACTTCCGGTGGGTTTACAACGTGTTTCCTCAGTTTGCACTGACTTATCCATCTCCCTAACCTCTCTTTGTCTTTTTGTCTCACCTAAAATGCTTCTAGTCATGAATTGAGAAGACACTGTCCAGTGTTTCTCATGAGCTAAAGAGAACGTGGCTGTAGGTTCTTTCGGTGATGCTGTAAATGTCCCACACCCAACCGCTGTCACTTCATTTCCTTCCAACGTGTTTAGAGCTTTGGTAGCTTCATGTGATTTGGGCTCTTCCTCCCATGTACCACTTCCATTATTTTTTCTGGATGAGCCAAAACAATCCAGTGCCTCAGATGTATCATCTTCTGAAACAGACTCAGCAGAATTTCCATGATGGGCTGAGTCATTATCACTGGAATCTGTATACTCTCCAAAATAGGTTTCCTTAAAATAAATGAGTTATACTAGTTAGTTAATTAAATACTAATTCAAATAACTGAAATTCAATTAAATGCATTAAAAAAAAGTACATGCTTCCTGAAGAACCCTTTAGAACACATAGGAGGACAGGTAATTTACTCTCTGGAATCGCTGCAATAGGTGGGAAAGTCTCAATCACAAGTACAACACTGATTTGCCCTCTCCTAATAAAAGTGCACCTCTTCCCAAAATTACCCTCACTCACACCTCTTCTCCCACAACAGGCTCTTCCAAGTTCCAGTCCACACACAGCCTTGGGTGTGGTTTGTTCTCCTAACCTCGAAACACTCCTACTTCTCAACTACTCAACTACTTCCAATCTTCTGGCCAAAAAGGTTTCTGACTCTGGCTACACAACCTCTTTTCCTCACCCTCCCAGTCACTCCTCCACACATATCTGACTCATGTCTCACTCGACCCCAGAGCGTCACCCTCTATGCACCAAATGGGTCATTACTCCACGTGACGATCATGGACAACACTCGCCACACATTTCCTCACAAGTGCTATACCTTGGATTAGCACCTGGACCTGATCCACGCCTTCCCCTTCAACAGTGTACGCAGTGACAACTCTCTCTCCCACCCAAGCTGTCTCCACTCCTGTTCCAGTTATCCTGCTTGACCCCCAACTAGCCCCCTCTTGTGCTAACTACCTTCATCACGTGTGATCCACCAAGCGAGCCCATTCATCAACCACCTGGCCTCCCTGTTCAGTAAGGGAAATGGCAGTCTGGGGAAGACTAGCCACTACTGACAGAAATGCTCCTGACCGAAACCTTTCCATCCCTGAGTTCTGGAGTACCATAATCTGGTTTTCCTCCACTATCCGGCCACCTGTTTTCAATCTTTCTTTCCTCTTCCCCTTTTCTGCTTGGTCACGAATGTACTGACAATTCCTCAGGAGTCTCTGAGACCCCTTCCTCTTCTTCTACACTCTTACTGAATGATATCACATGGTCCTATGGCTTCTGCTGCACACAAATGCTGATGTATCTTGAATATCTGTCTCACCACAGCCTCCCTCTGAGCATCATGCTCATGAATCTAAAATTCACATTGCATATATCCATTTGGAAATCACACATACACACTTAATATCTAACATTTTACAAGTTATCTTCTCACCCAAGTAGGGCTTCTTCTTACTTTTTTTATTTTCCAACACATTGACTCTTCTATGTCCCCTAATAACCACATTGAAAATCTCATCAAAGGCTGCTCATTCAAGCTCATTAACATTTTTCAAACAGTCCACACCTCTTTAATTCCAATGCAACCACTGAATTAAAGTGTCAAGAATTAAGGAAATTGCTGATTAAATGATTCCCCTATTTATGGTCTTGCTCCTTTCCTGACTATCCCCACTCTCTACCCATTCGTAGCGACTAAACCTTTCAAATCAAGATCTATCATCAGGTTCACTTATTTGAATACATCAAGAATTTCCCACTGCCTTTAGGATGAAAGGAAAAGTCCACAGACATTGTGGACCTGGTCTGTGTGAGTGTTCCCCAGTGTCAAGTTCACCTCAGCTCTACTCCTCTTCATAAACAGCAGTGCCACCTGAAACGCCTCACTCCCTCTTCAACACTCAGCTAGGACCCTACCCCCTCCACCTGTCCTCCATTCAGGACCAAGGTCCTGTCTAGGTCCTCTCCAACAGGGTGCCCTTCCTAGCACTGAAGTGCTCTACTGAGGCCATGTAATTGCCTATTCCTAATGGTCCGACCACCACACAAGATCCAACCAAGTGGGAACCATCCCATACCCTATGTCACCTCAGCATTCCTGGAGCCTAACATAATGTCTAGAACACAACAGGCATTCATTGTGTTTCCTGGATGAAGGAAGTGACTCAAAGTTGTTAACTGCTCTTTAAGCCAAAAAAGTATATAAATCTGTTTCATCAAAATGACCTTTCTTAGAAGTTATAATAAACCATTCTGCAAACACACAAAAAGTTGATGAGTCCATGAAGTGAAAGTGGGGAATTCAGCAAACTAGGTTAATGTATGCTACATACATGGATTTACCCATCTCTGAAAAACTCTATGGTTGCAAACGTTTTCAATTCATTCATTCCATGTCTGCTAAGTGCCAGGCACGAAAGATAAGAACAATTAAGACACAGTCCTCCACAGCAGACTTACAATTTTGTTGTGAATAAAGACGAAAATGCAACCATGATAGAAAGTAAAAAAAGTCATAAATTTTTCAGTCAACTACATGTTGATCCTAAGGGCACTGGCAGGTATTTTTAAATTCTATTACTCTCTAATAAAATCTGGCCTGAGTACCACAAATGTTCTTTGAGTATGGCTAATATAATAGGATGGGCACTGTGCCCACTTGGTGACTCCAATTCCAAGTGCAAACTCACAGGTGCAAGTGAAGAAGGCAAGGTGCCCCGGTTTGGGAAGGACCCCAGAGGGGGTGATGGCACTGGAGACAAAAGCGGAGGGGGAAGTTTGAAGAAGTCAACTGCAGCTTGAAGATCTTCATCAAAGGAGTGATCATGATCAGAAAAGTCAGTACTGTCCTCATCATTCCTCTGGACTGAAACTTCAGGATGCTGGTCCTCATTATGGTGGGCTGCTGCACAGGGTATCTCTTCTCCCACATTTTTACATGCAGAGAAGTCACCCTCTATCTCCATAGACAGCTCTGCCAGACATGTCTGCACAGCTGAGGCTCTGAGAGGACTGCCTCCTACCCGAGTGGGCATGTCATCTTCCCTGGACTCTCTGGATCTAGACGTTTCTTGGACAGGTTTTGCTGTAGAAATAAAAATTAAATATCAAATATTACAATATCAGGAAAACTTAAAAAAAAAAACAAAAAAAACCCTCAACTTATTCTAAGAGTTCAAAATGTTTGCAATGTTATAGTCAAAAACATATTTTTAAAAAACCATCCCTTCCTAAAGACTATCCTATAAAACCTGAACACACTTCACGTAAGTATGCTTCACTCATAACAAACAGGAGGAGAAGACAGGTAGATGGATGGGATGCTCGTGACCCCTCCACAGCAGATAGCAGGACGCAGCAATGTAACGGGCCCTGGGACCTGCTGACATGCTCACTATCTCGGTGAACCTTAAAACCAGTAGTACCTGGGAGAAACAGCTTTGTGCATGCAGGTTAACAGGGAATACAATTTTCTCTGTCTCACAAGCAATCCAAAATCCATGGATATCAAGCCTATTCCATGACCATATTAATACAATGCTCTAAAATTAAGGAACTAGGTCACATGAATACTTTTTAAGCAACAGGTCTTGTCTTGATCAGAATAGGATGGGGTAGGAAGAAAGAGCCCAGAAGCCAATCAGAAGATGATCCCAATAACCAAAGCCGGAGAAATCTGAACAATACATAATGACAGTACTGAATTATAATACATAAAATAAAATAAATACCCATGAGACTATCATGACAGAAATAATTAGAAATATCTATTTGTTATATTTGAAAGCTATAAAAATATGTTTTACAGAAGGGCTCAGGACTCATGGGAGAAGTGACAAATAAAAAAGTGAATGAATAGATAAATGGTAGAAAAGAGATAGCTCTTTCTTATAGAAGAATTCCAATTACTAAACGCAAAAGAAATGAGGAAAATACAATAAAATCTACTAGACGAAGTAATCAATACAGTAAATAGTATCCATGGATGGCTGCTAAAATCAGTGGGCTATAGTTGCAGAGAAAAAATATTTGCAGAGTGTCAAAGTATCTCCCCAAAGACAATTAACTAACAGAACTTTACAATGGAGAAACCTGACAGACGCCACCTTTAAACAAGTGATCAAGGTTTGCATTCCCAGTGAAAATGCATCTCCACATCCCCTCTCCCCGTGTACAACAACCTAAGCAAAGTGAAATATCACCACGATGGAGTTCTTGCCATAAATACATGGCCTCAATCTAATATGAGAAAACATCAGATAAGCCAAAACTGACAGACTTTCTACAAAATCACCTGTACTCTCCAAAAGTAGAAAAAACATGAGACATGGAAAAGACGAATGAATTGTCAGACACGGGGAAAGGAAAGGAAGAATGATGGCTAAAAGCAACATGGGATCTTGGAAAGGAAAATGACACTGGTGGGAAAACAATAAAACTCACATGAGGTTTATTTTGTTAACAGTATTATACTAAGTCTTCTGTTTTTGATGATTGGTGATGGAAAATGTTAAGCTTCAGGGACTCTGAATGAGGGGTAATAAGGGAATTTTCTGCACTATTTTTGTAACTTTTCTCATGAAAACAAAACAAAACAACAATATATTTTAAGATATAAAATTCCAAAGATACCATGTTTTCCCTTCTACTTGAAAAAGCTAACATTAAGGAACAGATTTAACCCTTGAAATAGTTTTAAATAAACATATACAATTATTAAACAAACAATGTCCCTTTTAATAACATCTTTAACAACATGAAATCAAGTGTTTATATAAAGTAAGACTACTGACTAATACAGAAAACTGAAATGTTGCCTATGAGCATTTTCCTTAGGGAACATGAGTCAACTGCAGAACCTGAGAGGAAAAAGTAGGTGCACATTTTCTACAGACTTAGAGCTTCAAAATCTGTGAATTCATAGCAGCTAATCAAAGAAACTAGTACAAAACAAAAAAAGTTAAGAAAGAGTTTTATCTTATGTAAGATAGCAATCTTCTCCCCATCCACTCCAAGTAACCAATACCTACTTCCAAATCTCAAGTCCTAAATTCAGTGTAACTGAGAATGTGGTAGAAAGCCTCTGTGATACACAATAGATTAAGTCAAATTTCTGAAAATACATTATTAGCTAATTGTGTTGTACAATAATAAACTGACAGTTTTTACCTAACCATATCAGCATCCTAAAGGAGACTACAAATGAAGAGTAGAGTGTAACCCAACATTTCAACCAAAGTAACTGGTAAATTACACAAAAAACAAATTAAGCTAAACTGCTGGTAGGTGGATGGAACTCATGAAATGAATGGAAAAGCTGAGCATCTGCAATCTTCTGCACCCACCTGCCAAATTTGCCTCCACTGTGGGTCCTGCCAGTTTCTCTGAATGTTCTCTGATGAAGGCCGCTATTAAAAATTAAAACCCAAATGCATTTACTGAGATTGGTATATAAGTCACACTGCAGGGAAAGGAGCTTTGTATAAGTAAGGTACCCATTCTACTTAGTTCATTCTTTGGTACATTAAGACACTAAAAACTAAAGACACACAATAGCCATGGTAAACATTTCTACTTCCATGTATGATACGCACTTCTGGAAGCTTCTCACTCACCTGGGACACATCTGCTGCTTTCACCAGGTACTCTGTGTGTTGTGTTTATACAGAGCCAGAGTTCCTTCAGAAGTAGTTTTACTTTTCCTGGGAAAGAGAATAAAGTGTAAAGACATGTTATTTGTTTCAATCTGTACAAGGCCAAAAGATAGTCCTGTGAAATCAACACTTACCAGGAATATAAAAACTAAGTAACTTAGATATCTTCCCCAAATTCAACTATTGTGCATAATTCAGTTAGCTACTGATGGAAAGGTCTGCAATGCTCTAGCCAAATACTGATGACTGAATACAGGCTTGGGTTGTGTTTGAGTGCGGAAGGAGTATGTACCTGTTGTAAATAATGGCTTCTATCGCCTTTATATATGTGTGTAACAAATAAATCTTTGGCCTGTAAGTTTTCTACAGAGAGTGATACGGGATAAGGGAAGGAAGCAGATATAATGACTGATACAAGGGATTCAGGTTCCATGTATTCTGCAAAAAATAGGAGAGCAGAATCTCCTCAGTTACATGAGGTTATTAGAAGAGCCTCAGAGTCAACCACGCTATAATTAACCTGGGGGCTTCTTGGATCATAGAAAAGCCATTGGTGGTCTTAAGGGAAAAGGAAGTGGGAGACAAAAAGATGTGTGTGTAAACATATAAATAGAGAGAGATAATCACACAGAGAAGCATGTGTTTTTACGAGCAAAGCAAACATTTTGGGATTTGTATACATTTTTGAAGGGGTCTGTCTGGATTCCTAAAATGGCTAAAAACTACTGTTCAAGTTGAAAGGTCAACAGTAGTTGCAACGAAGACAGGCCCAACAAAATTCATACAACATTAAGAATATAACTATGGTTTTAGAGTGAGTTTAACATTAATAAATACACAAATTCCAAAAAAACATTATTCCAAAGCAAAAAATATTCATAAAAATATCAACAGCCTGTAGTCAAATCTGCTCACACAAATTGAAATTCAACTTAAAATAAGATGTAAGTATCAGGCAATTGTTCAGCCCACCTCAAAGTTCTATTACAGTTTCCTTGAACTTAAGTTCTTAAATTAACCTGAAACATTTATTTAAAATACTGAACTCTTTAATCCAGTCTAGAGAAGCTAAAAGACCAACCTTTTAAACCAAAATATCTCCAAGGAATCACAAGTTTTAAATAGGTCAGCCCTATGGAAGCCAGCAAACCGAATCACACCAAATAATGAGGTTCAGACAGAGGGACCGGGACAGAGGGGAAGGACAAAGGCAAGGGGTGGGTTTGAGAAGCTGGACATTTCCAACCTCCCGAGCCAGTCAGTCAACCCCTGACGGTCACCACGTGTGAAGCACATCTATTTTTGAGTTCCAAATTGTGTAATCAAGTAGCTTATCTACGTTGTGATTTAACCTACCCCAAAGCCTGCTTCCAAACACTGTAATCCCCTTTGCTTAAATGACCTGACCAGGATCCCTGCTTATTAGGTATACACCCAAAGCAGCAAACAGGGAACCTTAAAAAAAAAGAAAAAAAGTTACTTTTCTATTCTTATGGAGGCTATTAACCAGAGCTATGCCTATTCTAATTGAGCACTCTTTCATTACTTCTAATCTACAAATAAGAGCCATCCATTCCCAGCAAAACAAAACAAAAAAACCTTCATTGTGGCTTCACGACTTAGTTGGGGAAGAGAAAACCTCATTAAATTGAACTGCACACCTTAATCCAATCTTTTAAAGCACTTTCTTTATCAAAAGCCAAGGCATCTGTCAGTATTTCTGGACCTTTCTATTCCAATGACATGTCAGTTTCCACATGAATACCATACTTCTTTAATCATATAGTTTTATGTTTATGTTTTAGTATCTGTTCAGATTTTTCATTTTCAAAAATTTTACTATTCTGAACATCCGTTCTTCCAGATAAAGCTTCACTATCTGTTTGTCCTTTCCCATATAAAACCTCAGTGGTATTTTGAGTGAGACCTTATAAATACATTTGAGGAAAATTCACATCTTTATGCTTTGTCTTTCAATCCAAGAACATGTTTATTTACAAATGCAGGTCTTCTTTAATGCTCTTCAGGAGTGTTTCATAGTTTTTCTCATGGAAGCACAGCACACTGCTTTTAGGTCTTTTCCTAGACATCTGATGGTTCAGTTGCCATATGAGATGGGTTGGTTGTTCTTATTCCATCCCTGCTCTATAGTTTCATAATGATATGTTGTGTCCTCCATGTTTATAACACCACTTTCCCGAGCTCCTACACTTGAATTTTCCAGCTGAGACTTTTTGATTTTTTTACAGTCACATCATTTTGAAATCATGACATTTTTAACTCTTCTTTATTAGTATTTACAGCTCCTAGTCTTTTGTGTTTACTCTGTGGCACTGCCTGAAGCATCCAATATTTACAGAATGGAGCTAACAAGAAGCATCCTTGCCTTGTTCCATAAGAGACAGTAATGATTGTGCTTTTGTTTCACCATTCTCAAGTGCAAATGTTTTTTTCTATTACCTACCATTTCTTTTATGAGGACTAGGTGCTGAATTGAGATATCATTCTTCTCTTAACCAACTGCTGCAGTATTCCTCAGAGAAATCCTAAGTCATAATTTGTCTGTATTCTCAACTACTAGATTTGAGTTCTTAAAATTTTACTTATATTCCTAAGTGACAGAGCTCTGAGTCTTGAGGATGTGTATGCATGTTATTCTTAACTGGCTCTGGTACAGTTATGGTAGTCTAAGACAATGAGCCAGTTATGGTAGTCTAAGACAATGAGACAGAAAGCACTATTTTTCTAAGTTCTAAAACAAATAAAATGATAACAAAGACATCAGTTTGCACTGAAGGCTGTATAGAGCTCATCTGTAAGCCACCTAGTCTTCTAAGGTGCTAGAGCTTCAAGTTTTTTATTTCTTCTGGGTTTTCTGTTCAGGTTTGCAACAACTTTTCTGAGTTAATTTCGGTAGGCAGTCATCCCTCCCACTTCATGCTTCGACTTCTGCGGCTTCACTCTATTGCGGTTTTTTTCAAATTACTATACTATACTATACTATACTATACTATACTATACTATACTATACTATACTTGAAAAAAATTGCGACAGAGTGAAGCCGCAAAAGTCAAAACGCGAAGTGGCGCGGAACGACCGTATATAAATAAAGAATCCTACTTCATGGAAATTCATTTATCGCGGTAGAGTCTGGAACTGATTAACTAGATAAATAAGGGCCGACTGAGTTTTCCTAGAAAAAGGTCCATTCATTAACATAATCAAATTTGCATATGAATTTGTTAATTAGGATTCTCCAACTATAATTTTATAGCTTTCTCAGTCCTGGTGTTGTTGAATTTTTGTTCCTTGCTTTCTTGATCAGACTTGCAAAGTTCTGTCGATTTCACCAGCATTACAAAGATACAGTGATTGGTTTTAATGGTCTCAAAGCAATTGCTTAGTTTCCTATTTCGGTAATTTATGTTTTCATCTTCATCAAATGCTTCCTTTTATTTTCCTGAGATGTCTGCTATATTTTTGTACCTTCTTAGTCATTCATTTTCTGTAATTCTTGCTTTCTAAAGTAATCACTGAAGGCCACAATATCTTTGAATACCATTTGGCAATATCGCAAAAATGTAATAAATACTGCCTTATTGTTTATTTCCAAAACAGTTTAGTATTTCCATTTTTATATTGTTATCCAAGAGGTATTTGTTTGTGTTTATGTGTTTTCAGTTACCAGATAGGTTTTGAAAGATTTTGGGGGCATGTAATAGATATTTTTACTAGTATCTTACTAAACATCAGTATCTTAATATCTCATATTAAACATATTAGTAACTAGTCAGCTTTTACATGTGTTAAAAGCATTTCAAATTATAGGATTGTGGTTTAAAAGAGTCGTGTAATATGTAAAGTATTGACCTCGCAGTTACGATTCCAATTCTATCTCCTATTTGGTCTGCTTTTTTATTTCTAAGAAACATATTAAAGTCTCCCAAGAAAATAGATTTAGCTCCTACTCCTAGACTTTCCAAGCATTTTACTTGGCATAGATATTCCCTTATAATCCATGTAAATTCATATCTAGGCTTCAATTATGTTTTGCCTTACACTACAGTTCAAGTTAGCATTTGCTTAAAATTTCTTTATCTATCCCTGTATATTAATCTTTCTACTTCATTTAATTTTAAATGTATTTCCTATAAATGTATCAGAGATAGAGATCATACACAAATCAGGCTGAACACTTAGGCCTTTCTAATATAAATATCCCATCTGTGCTCTGCTCTGGGAAGTTTCTGTCTGTTATTTCTCGATCACCTTTTCTCCTTTGGATCCGGTCTCCTGAGAAGTCCTAGTAGATGACTATTATGACACCCAGCTGTATCCTCCAGATTCTTACATTTTCCTTAATACCTTTTATCTCCTTGTTCTTCTATATCATGTTCTCAGAGACACCCACAACAGGTCTCAGAGACACCTATCTTGTATTTGTCCATTCAACAATTCAGCCTTTCTAAGTGGTGTATTTCAACAATCACTTTTTTTAAAAATATGTTTTTATTGATTTTTTGAGAAAGAGGGAGAGAGAAACATCAACATAAGAAACACTGATTGGCTGCTTCCTGCACACCCCCCTAATGGGGATTGAGCCTGCAGCCCAAGCATGTGCCCTTTTACAATCACATTTTTAATGTTCTAGAACTCCAACTCCAATTCATAGCAGCAGCCTATGTATAAATTCTTTGGACTTTCTAAAGATACGACTCTATTTTTAACATTTTATGTCGTTTATGATTTCACACTACTTCCTCAGGGACTAGCTCTTTTCCCTGAGTTTTGTTGCCTTTCTTTCTTGCCACTGCTGCTTCTCTGTTTTGGATGAAAGTTTTGGCAGGACATATTTGATAGCCAGAGTATGTTTTTCAGCCCACGTTTTTAGTGCTATATTAGCAATAAATATAGGTTCTCATTTCATAAGCCTATAGGGCCCTTTCTTCAGAGGGAGGAGAGACAGAGTGAACTTACATGGAATACAGAAACATCTAATTTTGGGGAACCAGGAGCAGTTATCCTTCAAAGCAGCCATAATTATCCAATTTTTGCACCCACTCTGGTGCCTCCCATGGCATAACTAACATTTTAGACAATTAAACTTTGGGCCATAGCTGTGGACAAACGTGAGAAACAGTTTCTGAATCCAGACGGTTGCACACTTTTCACCCTTTCATCATAATCTGGCGAGTGCTGCTCTCCTGTCCCTTCTCCCTCTCACTTTTGCTTTGAGGAAAAACAGGGCTTATGCCATAAAAACTTGCTTTTTAAGTGGTGCTATTTTCTCTGTAATTTGGGGCTTTATCACCAATAGATACCAACGCTTTACATTTCCTCATTCATTTCTTCCACTGGTGCTAAACTGTTTAACCATAAAGGAGGGCTATATTTTATTTTCTGCCATTTTTACTGGAATTTGAAAGGAAGGAAAGACACATGTGACATTCAGGCACACTTTTTTAAAGTGAAATCAACACTACTTCTACCTAACGTACAAATCTCTTTCAGAAGTCAGATAGTAAAGAAAAGCATTAAAGATACATTTAAGAATCAGAAATTAAACCCATCAAGGTCCATAGCTTAATAATTAGCAGATCCTAAAGATTTCACTTATTTGGAAAAAGGAAAATATACAACAAACAATATCCCTGTATCCCTGCCCTCACAGTGAGGGAAGATAAAAACAAAACAATTTTACTAGAGATAAAGTAACAAGTTTTTTGAAAAAAATAAAACAGAATGTAGGGACAAAGAGCAGCTATAGGAAGAGGTGGGAGGTTTCTGTTCAAAATAGTAAGGCCTGAGAATAGCCGAATTTTAGTGCAAATCTATCAGTCCAAAAGAGATCATTAAATTCAACAGCTGACTGTTACTTGGAAAAGCTAAGTGCTGTCCAGTCCTCTATTTCTCTCAGCAACAGCTATTACTAAGAGTCTGACTTTGCACACATAAGAGCAGAAAGAACAGAGTCAAAAGCACACGAATTATATATCAGTGACCGTGATAAATCAGTGCCCAGGCAACTTAAAGGTGTGAATTGCTAACGCCTTAAACCACACACACACACACACACAAACACACACACACACACACATCTCGTGTTCTGAACAAAAAAATTAAAGGAAAAGAAAAAAGATAAAGGAGACTTCTGAAGAGATACTCCCCCTCTATCTTGTACAAACCATTTAAGTGGTTTTAATAATATCCATTGGGAAAAAAACAAAACCACATTAGTGACATGTAAACATCATTATTTACATTTTAAATTTATCTCTACCAAAAAAGTGAGCGATAGCAGAGCAGAAATTCATTACCTCCTACTTAAAAATGGAGAAAGAAAACACAAAGAAAGTAAACGTTCACACAGTGAATAAATAGAAATATTAAAGTTAAAACCCCAATTTCTCAACTTACAGGGTTATACCTCTCCTACAAGATTACTCAGGGATAAACGGTACACTTGCATGTTCATCATTTCCCTTGTGACTTTGGTGACTACCACTTCACTTTTCCTTTAACTTTTGGCCTTCCCAAAATTCTTGTCTTCCAAAATACACTTATAGACTTTGACTCCAGGTTTCCTGCCTAACATAAACAATTTTTATATATCTGGCACCTAAGAAATTAAATTTAAGAATTGTAAACCAATGAGAAAATTATACTTAATTACTGAAAAGTGTGGAAATTATATCTATCTCTAACTAGTTTTGTTTCCCAAACAATACTGCTTTTTCACACTTTCTTTCACTGTGTCATTTTATCAGACAGTATGGTAATAACATACACAGATCTAATGATGACATGAAATAGGATACAACTTCTTCTTCTTCCATGAAACATCTACTAAGCCCTGGAACTTTCACAATTATAGGTAAGAGCAACCTCCCAAAACACTAAAAGTAATGCAAAAATGAAATTGGAATATACTCACTTTTATCTATGCTTCCATAAGAATCACTTGAAATCTGTGTTCCAATATGTCTCAACTCTAAGAATATGGGGGGGAAAAACTGTTAAAAAAGAATCTTGTGCACCAAAATAGAATTTTTATGTAAGCCATTAACTGAATACTCACCCTTTGCATGTTTCTGTTTAGAAAATTCATCAAGCCTTTCCTGTGAAAACAAAACACTACAGTGTTTGCAATGTACTGGAGTACAGCCATTCTAGACCTGATAGAAGAGTGGCAACCTGACAGGTACTGCTGGCTGTTTTCATTAAGGGCCTCATTCCTGACTCCTACATAATTAGGACACTGCAGTTTTACAAAGGACACTAAGGAGCCCTGAAACCAGAAATTTAACATGCGTGTGCACTGTTATCTATTACCTGTGTCTTCTTATATTCCTTTTCAAGTATATTCTTTTCATTCCTTAGTTGCTTGAAGTCCTGAGTTTGCTTGACAGCAGCCTCTTTATTTAAAGAGTGCAAAAAAAGTAAGAAATAAACATAATATACCAACTTTACAACTATCAATAAAATATTCAAAATCTAATCTACGTTTTTCTTCTTAAAACTTTGAAAATATTTTGTAAGATTATTGTGTGTTCAGCATTTTATCTCAGGAATAAATGCAGAAACACTTTTAGTTTAAAATATTAACTCTACTACCTACAGAACCATGGAATTGGCACAGGCCCTAAGAATCCTTTGCAATCCCAGCACAAGGGAGCCCAAATCCTCAAGTCAGGAAAGATTCCAACACACATAACCTTTAGAGAGAGGGAGGCCATGGTCCCCCCTCCTTATTTTTCAACAATCAGTAACATTCAAGGTTTACAGATTTTAGAACTGTAGTTTTATCTTAGAATACAGTTAGTATCATTCTCTTTATCTGGGGAAAGAGACAATCTTCTCTATGCTTACTATATTGTTACTCCTTTCTGGAATTCCCTTCAATAAGCTAAGTTGTGACTGCTAATACTTTTATTATAGATCTGCAGTGGACCTTTGAATAACACCAGAGTCGGGGCACCAATCACCAAGTAGGTGAAAATCCTCATATAACTTTTGAATCCCCAAAAATGTAACTACTAATAGCCTACTGTTGATCTGGAAGCCTTACCAACAACATAAACAGTCTGCTTAACACGTATTTTGTATATTATGTGTATTATACACTGTATTCTTGCAATAAAGTAAACTAGAGAAAAGAAAATGTTATTAAGAAAATACTGTATTCATTGAAATAAAGTTGTGTGTCAAGAGACCCATGCAGTTAGTTAAAGCTCAAGTTGTTCAAGGGTCAACTGTACTTTTAAGGCATTTTTATAGCTGTTTTCTGAATCTTCAGTCAATTATTCATTCCTGTTTTTGGTTCTGAAGCACTGTATAATCCAAGTATACTTTAAGAATCTGGGCAGTACTGAATATGTTCATACACGATCACTATGAAAGTAAAATCCCATAAAACACCAGAGTGCCAATCCTTTCTCAATTCCTTTTAATAAGTTGAGTATTTCTTGACCTGATTATAATGCTCTAACATTTACTAGAAAAAAAAATGTCACATGGAAAATAAAGGCTACATATTTTTAATTAAATTTTTGGAGTGATATAATTTTTTTTGGTTAATATGATCATATATGTTTCAGGTGTGGATTTCTATGTTACAAGATCTGTACATTGCACTGTGTGCCCACCACCCAAAGTCAAACAAAGGCTATACTTTTGCTTCAAAGGAATTCTGTTCTAAAAGTTGCATGCAGTCTCACAGGCATTCCAGACCTCTTTAAATACATTTCCTCGAATAGATATTTATCTCCACATACTAGCAAGAAAAGGCAATATTTAGAAAGAATACAGTGCTGCTATACGTATTGCCATACTACCAATGTTTGTGCAACAACCAAATCAAAGAAAAACTTGTTACTAAAATATTTATAAAGTTATGGTCTAAAATAATCAAGCTCAGTCTAGGTAAACTGATGTCTAGAAGTATCTTCTTACATCTGTATGTCCTGATCTAACTACATTCAAATCATTACTTCACACTCTAAATGAAAAATACATCATTCTCTGAAGCAGAGCACTGCAAGTATGATGAAATAGCATTCGGCAGGGTCAGTAAGCCACAGCAGGTAAGAGCATTGCTAAAGCCCATGCTGGAATGAGAGAAACATGTACCAGGGATGGGTCCAGCAGAGCCCTGTTCATCTCTACTGGATGTTATTTCCACATCCCAACCACCCAAAGAAAGGGGAAGAAAATATCTTGCCTTCAATTTCTGAAAGGTTTATTCGCTGCTCCATAAGGACTGATCAGATCCTCATAGGGCCCCTCTGCACTCTACCTACTCAGTATGGACGAGAAGCCCCTAACCAAACAATGGGGCATGGGGAGGACCAAGGACAAAGTGGCAATCCCCAAAGTAGTGAATTTCACAGAAATCTTTCCATAGGTTTTGTCATAACTATCTAAATCCATCAAGTTTCTTGTTACTAAAGGTAGTAACATTCTCCCCTGGCCAGTGTAGCTCAGTGACTGAGCATGCACCAAGAGGACACTGGTTTGATTTCCAGTTATGGCACATGGCCCAGGTTGTGGGCCAAATACCCCCAGCCAATCGACATTCTCTCTCTCATCAATGTTTCTCTTTCTTCCTTTCCCCTCCTCTCTTTCTGAAATCAATAAAGAAAAAAAAAATTAAGAAAACAAAAAAAGTAGCAACATTCTCTACTAACCACTGATTTCATTAGCAAAAAATGAGAAAGCCTCATGAGATTCAACTTTCAAAATTAAAACCTCTTATTAATTGCTGCTTTTAAGTATAGGCTGCTATTACTTTGAGTACATTTCAAGAATTTGCCACATTCCACTGTCATGCTACCATCCAGTAACTGAAAGGAATACAGTATTCAAATTTCTTCCTAATGGCACACTAAAAACAGTCATCCAGGGATATGCCATCAAAACCACAACTACTCAACTACTTCATCAAGTACTATAACCTCTTATAGTTACAAGTAGCTAGATAACAATAGTACAAATTACCTTCCAGCTTCTTCACCTTGGCTTCTAGTTTCTTCTTCCTAAAAATAAAGTTTTATATGTTAAAATTGCAACAAAAAAAGGATATAAATATATATATATATAAAACAGAAAAAATATACATTACATTTTATGGTATATTTATTTTTAATTACTGAGATTTATATAACAAAGTAAACGTCAGTCATAATGAGCATCACACATCAAACATTAAAATTTCCAGCAACTGGTCTAAAAGTAGAGCAAGAAAAACAGTATACCATTTAGTGTGTTATAGTTCTAAAATGGATTAAAGAAATCTGTATTTTTCTCTCTGAATCGCAGTGATCTCATCTACGAACGAAACTGATGTGTCTGGATGGTCTCCAAGATTCAGTGCAGTTTCTAACTAGGCAGTGCGACTTTCGGGAGCATGGATGGCAGGAGAGCTCACAACATCACTACAAGAGGCTGTGGCTGGAGATGTGCACTTGTTTTAGGATGGATTTGGTTCACAGAAGAGAGGTAACTCTCTGAGAAAGAGTCTCTGAGTTATTGCTACATGAACATTAAACTACTATATGTATAGTTCACAAGTTTGTTGAATAATGTGAATATAGTATCAAACATCAAAATAATCAACTGGATGCTTCTGAACAGCCTTTCTATGAATGGCAACAAAGATACCCATTCTGTAGGATATCTGTTAAAGTACTGATACAAAGGAGTAAATAATGTTCTCATACACAGATAAACAGGCATAGATGCCATACGAACAAAAACATGTTTACAGAGTTCTTTGTTTGCATAGCCCTTTGACATGTAATGGCTCATTTAACCCTCCTTAAAATGCTTCAAGGTAGTTATTTCCATTTGACAGATGTGGACACAAAGGATGAGAGACATTCAAGATTGCAGTTAATTACAGCCAATAAATCCAAAGACAGAAAGAGAAACACTATTGATTTAAGAATTTTCAAAGATGAAAACCCTACTACCACAGTAATTTTAAAACTTACTGAGCATCAGTTTTCAAGCATTCTTCTTTTACACGAGCATATTCCTGATGAGTATCCTGATACAACTTCAGAGAACTCTAAAAAAAGAAACAGATATATACTGTCAATTTGAAAGTCATGACAATCAGTAATAACTTATTTTGACCTTGAACAGCTAAATTATTATCACTTAATGGTATGAAATTAACCAAATAAATAATGTTAGGCAGGAAACCAAAGTACAATTCATCGAACATTTTAAAGGATATAATTAGATCTTTACTAAATGTAGTATGAATAATAATCTAATCAAACAAAGCTTTAAAATTGAAACTACATTAATTTTAAAGCAATTCTAAATCTTCATAACACTGAAAAGCTAATAATTTTTTTCAACCAATTAAAATTCAAGAAAACCTAAAGAAATTTTAGAACTTAATATAAGCTATTGTTACTACTATTCAACAATATAAAGTAAGTCATTATACTTAATAGCAACTGGAGAAAATGTGTTAGCACCAATCAATATATAAACCCTGATGGCCACTATGGAACGGGAAAGAAACTGTTACTGAATAGCATTATATCATGATATAATGTGTATACGATATTTCTTTAATCACCATAGCTCTGAGAGACGGGCTTTATGAACTCTTTTCACAGATGAGGGGTCTGAGCGTCCACAAGTTGACTTAAATCTTCCATAGTCACAGTGAGTGAGTGAGGAGGGCTTATCATTCAGGTCTGACTCCAGCTCCTGCTTCCTCTCAGATAGGGCTGATCAGATTATTATACAATCAGAAGTAGACAAAATTCAATGTTTTGGTTGTTTTTGTTTAACTTTCATTGCATAATCAAATTTATAAAAGAGAATTTCTACAGAAATAGGTAAATCAATCTGTTAAAGTACGTAAGAGCTCAGACAGATTTATGGTCATTACTAAAATGCCACAATTTGAAGACTGAGAGACACAAATAATATTCTGAGAAGAGCTTAGAGAACAGGTAGAGAAGATAAGAATCATCCCAGCTTGGCTACAATGTGTCTTATTGCAAACCACCTCACTTTATTGGCTTCAGATTTTTCTTATCTGTAAAAGCCATGATTTCTCTTCTAAGACTCCTATAAAGCATAAACCAAAGTTTACATAGAAAAACAAGCTTACACCATTTTAAATAAACTTGATCATGAAACAGAGAACATGATTTTGCTACCTTTAAGTTTAAATTTTTGCATGTTATTTTACACTTAAACTAAAAACACATAAATAACAACAAAAAAAGTGAAAAGGCAATCAATGTAGGAAACATGCAGCCACAAAAATTCACAACTAGAAGGTTCTCTACCGAACCTCTCATAAAGCATAAACAACTAATACAGAATTACATATCTAATTACCACTGTAAGGATCAAGCCACATATCAACTAGTTCAATGTTCATAAGTATAGTAACTCAAGAGTCCTGACTAGCACGGATTTCCTGTTAACATATAAAATGTCCCCTTATCCCGATTACAGTGAATTAGCAGCTCTTAATTAACTGAAGAAAAGCCTTGGGGGAAAATTACTTTAGGTACCTTTTTCTCTTCTAGCTCAGCTTTTAAAAATCCCAGTTCTTCCTGACATTTCTGCAGAGGAGAAATTTTTTGAAGCATCTGTTCCACTTGATGATGCAGAGTACTATTCTCTCTAAAAATGGACAATGCAGTAACACTGTTATACAAAAGAATCTACAGTGAATTGTTACATATATCTGTTGGGGATTTGTGATTATTTTCTAAATCGAAACAAAAAAGGAATAAAAGAATTTCTCTTTTTAAATACATTCTCTATACCAACATGATCCTCATGTTGCTTTTAATTTCTTTGGCATTATAGTCTATTTCTAATAAAAGTATATCAAAAAGCCACTTGAGAAGCTGACAGAGCAGATTCTCAATCTGCTGGAGAAAATATTAAAGGGCAATCTACCAAGAAAGTTGGCTATTCCAATCTTGAACTCATCCTCATTTATCCAAATTAAATGATAGACAATTTTGTATATTCAGTCTTCAATCATGGTTTTTTTTTTTTTTTTGCCTTCTAAGCGATAAATGTAATCAGAGTTTGGAATATTGCTAAATTTTTATGTAAGTTTATTTAAAATTATTTCAAATACACAAAATAAACAACCCCATCCAACAATCCAATTCATGTAAATGACAATAATTATATAGCAATAAGCTTCATCTCAATAGCAACATGATTAGTAAAAGTTATTGAAAAGTCAAGTCAGGCCATAATTTAATACCTTAATAAGAAACTCATTTGGCAAACATGACTCTTCTTTTATTACGACCATCAAAGCAACATTCTAAATAATGGGCCAAATCTATATGGCTTTTTGTTTCCAAATCCGTTTAAAAATCTAGGCTGATAAATGTCTCCCCCACATCAACTCTGAAAACAGATAGCTTACCTTCTGGCAAACTGCAGCTGTAAAACTTGTTAAAGAAAACTCTGATAATTTTATCTACTTATGGTTGTCTGAAGACAAAACTCACTTAAAATGATATTTCAATGTGCATACAAGCAAGGCCATAATTCCTAGAAAACAATATTCAAAGTCCCATTCATAACATACATATAACACATTGAAAAGACTTTTACTGAGTTATTCCTATTTATAACATGTACCAAAAGTCAAAATATCCATTTCTCTAAATTAAAAAGGTATCTGATTAAATATATTAATATTAAATTCCAAGAATAAAGACAATATGAAACTAATGGATAACATTTCGAATCCTATACATACCAGAGCCCCCAAACAACCTGTCCTTTACTTCTCATATGATCCAGAGAATAATTCCATCAAACAGTAGTTATGTTTTTACTAAAACCATATATAACTATATCAATGAGTAATGAGGAAAGACAGGGAGAATATTAAATCTAGATAATCCCTCACTTCTGCAATTCACACAATTTGATAACTTCATTGCCCATCTCAAACTGCTAGTAATGTTAAAAGACAGCAAAAAGTTATTCCTTTAAGTTCCATCTCCTTTAAATTCCTATTCCTATCACAAGATAGCAAATGTTTAGTTGTAACAAGTCTGTATTCTCCTCTATTTTTGTGAACTTCTCAAGATTAAGGAGTATATTTTATTCATCCTAAATTACTGCAGTCTTTGCAAGAAAGAAAAGTTCAAAAAACATCTGATGAAATAAAATTACTCTGCCTTCAGAAAGAGGAATAAACAAAGAAATGGTCAGAATTACACAAAAAAGTAAGAAATCAAGTTATATAAGAAACACATACTAACCCTGCAACATCGGTACCTTGCAGAGCAAATTACTACATAGTTGAGGTACAACCAATACATATTTTGGGCAAATGCCAAATGTGGCTCAGTTGGTTGGAGTGTTGTCCAGGTACACAAAAAGGTTGAGTTCAATTCCATCAGGGTACCTACCTAGGTTGTAGGTTTGATCCCTGGTCAGGGCATATACAGGAAGATAACTGATGGATGCCTCCCTCTCACATTGCTGTTTCTCTCTCCCTTCCCGTCTCTCTAAAATCAGTAAGCATGTCCTCAAGTGAGGATAAAAAAAAAATCTCTATTGACCTGCAGCTGAGACAAGCAGATAACCACATCACAGAATGGAAAATCAAGAATAATCAAAAGTTTTATCAATTTTAATAACTTATTCTAACAATTTTTACTTTTAAAATTCTGCAAATTTTAGAAAAGTAAATATTTTTCCTGCTTACTTGTGCAACTACCTTAAAAAGGTTATGCCCTCGCCCTGGCCAGTTTTTCTCAGTGGTTAGAGCGTCGGCCTGCAGACCAGAGAGTCCTGGGTTCGGTTCTCGCTAAGGTCATGTTCCTCGGTTGCAGTTTGTCCCAGGCCCTGGTTGGGGTAGTGTGGGTGGCAACCACTCGATGTGTCTTTCTCACATCGATGTTTCTCTCTCTCTCTCTCTCTCTCTCTTCCTCCCGCTCAATCTGAACATAAATGCAAAAATGTCCTCGGTTGAGGATAAAAAGTTATGCCATTTCTTCCAAAACGGATATAATAAACACATACTTTTCTAATATTGGAAATGATTGCCTACCTAATTTTCAATGTAGCTAATTAAAAGTAGTTGCAATAACTATTTCTGTACAGCTTTTATAAGCGAAAATATTACTCTTGCATAATACACATTTATAGTTAAATAGACTGATAGTTTCAACAAATAACACACAAGAAATTTCAATGACTTCTACTTTTTAATGTAAAAATTTAGATTCGAAAAGTAAATTTCAATGTTATGCCCTGATTTTACTGCTCTGATCACAAATTAGATATGATGGTACCAACACAAACAAAAAAGTTCGGGTGCCAGATGTAATACCGAAGCAGGCCTCGAGTAACTACCAAAGGTGACCTGCAGAATCTGCCACAATATTTAAGCTGAAGCTGTACTTCAGTGACTCCCTGAAAATATACATGTATTTTAATGAAATTTTATTTCTATGGAAGAGAAATAATTCAGAGTAAGTGTCATCACAAGATGAAAAAGGATCAACTATACACACTATTTTCACCCTGCCAAGGAATTATTTAACCAGAGGCCAACATGGTCAGTGAAGAAACGGTGACTATGAGTCTGAGAAGTATATTGTGAGTACAAAATCACACTATGACTTGGCATACATACATTAATCTCTACAAGTCACAACACTGATTAACCCGAGTCAGTCTTCTAACATCATGAATATTCCTACAGGGCCCTTTTTGCAGAAATCCCAATATTCTAATATTCAGCTTCATATTATTCCTGACCCTAAAAAACATATAGCATGACCTTGGTACAAGTGAAAAAGACCTACTCATAAAAAACTTATGGCACCTTAAGAATATCAAAACCAGTTAACAAAATAAATTATAAAATTAGACCTGCAGTCTTTACCAGGAAAACAAGTATTAACAGTAAAAGATCAGCTTTTTCTTGTGCTTGTTAGAAATACTCCCTATTTTAAGGCTATAAATACTGTTCTCCAAAAGATAACTATAAAAACCTCATATTTCTTTAAAAAAAATCATAAGTAAATTTAAAAATTCAAAGGAAAGAGCCAGTCAAAGGATATCATCACATTTCTTCTGATACTCTGTTAACAAATTACTGCAACAAAGAATTGTTATACTGTGTTAAAATTATGTTTCAAAATATGCAAGGCACCTTTCTTCCTAAGCAATAGATTTACATTAAATTACATACATAAACATATATGCATTACCTTTAAATTCCTTAAAATGCATTGATATATGAGCTTTTCATTTAAAAATCCCTTTGCTCTAACTAATGTCATAGTTTATAAATTATGTGACTTCTACAGAATTTCAAAAAATTAAATCTCACACCACGGCTATAAAACATTGTAAGGAAATGTGAGGCCCTGTTCTAAAGCTAAGAAGGCTTTGAAGAGAGAAAACAGCTTTAAAAAAACTTTCAGTTTAGCAAATATCACTTGCTAAGCCATGACCCTCATGGTAAAGGCCAACAGACAAGGTTAAGGATGAGGACAGGAGTTTCATTATAATCAGCATAACACCACATAGGCCTCAGAAGAAACTCTAGTTTGCCTTTCAGGCCAAGAGGCCTACCAGCACCTCCACCTTCAACTTGTCTGTCAGGTCCACAAAGTTCAGACAAACACATAAAAACATACTCACTCTGTATTAATAATTTTTTGCTTCAAGGTAATTAATGCTTCAACATATTCATTTAAATTCTGAAAGAAAACAAAAAACACTAGTCAGTTACCTGTTTTTTATTTTTTATTTATTTTTTGTTTTTATAGAGTGCTTATATAGCTCAACAAAAGGAAGACAAAGAACCCAGAGGAACTAAATAGACACCTCTCCAAACAAGACATACAAATGGCTAAGAGACATATAAAGAAATGCTCAACATCACTAATAATCAGAGAGATGCAAATTAAAGTTACTTGTTTTTATATAAATTACTTTAAATATAATTTTACTGTAAGATATCATTTAGTATAAAGTATAAACATTATTTCTGTATTATGTAAACACAGAAATATATAAATCTATTATTTCCACTGTGCATAATAACACACAGACTTATACTGTGTAATCCTGAGCCCACACTGCCTCTCTGAATCTCTTTCATCTGAATGATGGAACTCTAACGGCAAGGTAGGTGTTCAGATGCTCTGACTGCATGCACTTGATTTCAGTGTGGTGTACTCAATTTACAATGCAAAACATCAACAAGATTGGAAATCAATGACACCAGCTTCCTCTCAGCCACGTCTCAAAGAAACTGGTCCTCCCTCATCTAGCAAGAGTTTTGCTCTTTTGAAGAATCTCTTCCTGGGACAATGTAAACACCTAGAGCAGGCTGACTAGACCTAGAACAGAGGGACTAGGTACACCTATGCACACTGGCTGGCTGCTTCTTCTTTCCATTAAGCTCCCAGATAGTGGCAGCCAATCCTTTTGCTCTCCAGGCAGAGACTGGAAACAGTTTCTCTGAGGATCTGAGATAAAGGTATGCCATTAGATATTATTTCATCAATAAATGGCCCACCCAGACCTACTATAATGAAACTCAGAGAGAAACCTATAACATGAGAGACTAAAACAAGCCAAAGAAATTTGGAGTAAGCAAAAATCAAGAAAACTTCAAAAAAAATTAATATGATCTAAGATGAATTACATTAAATTCATAAAACAAGAAGCTATTTTTAAAATAAAATAGAGCTTTTAGAAATTAAAATAAAAAGCTCATAAAATTAAGACTATAAACACCCACCACCATGGCTAAAATCAAAATGACAAGCAATAACAAGTGTTGGAGAGGATGTAGAGAAATTGGAACCCTCATACATTGCTGGTGGAATATGAAATGGTGCAGCTGCTGTGGAAAATAGTTTGGCAGTTTCTTAAAATGTTAAACAGAGTTAACCATATGATCCAGCAATTACACTCCTAGGTATATACCCAAGAGAATTGAAAACACATGTCCAGGCCAAACATGTACACTCTTATTTATAGCAGTATTATTCACACTAGGCAGAAAGTAAAAATAAACTCAATGTCCATAAACTGATAAATGGATAAACAAAATGTCATAGAACCACACAATGTGACTATCTGGTAATGAAAAGGAATAAATGACACAGCTACAACATGGATAAACCTTGAAAACACGCTAAATGAAGGAAGCCAGTCACAAAAGGCTACATGCTATATGATTCCATTTATATAAATTGTTCAAAATAGGCAAATCCAGAGACAGAAAGTAGATTAGTGGTTGGGGGGAAATAGGGGAGGACAGGGAATAACTGCTAATACAGGGTGGGGCAAGAGTAGGTTTACAACTGTTCATATGAAAAATAATACAGTAATTAATAAATAATAAACAATAATAAACTCTGCTTCACATACTCACAACTGTAAACCTACTTTTGCCCCACCCTGTATTTAAGAGGTTTCTTGGTAGGATACAGGGGTTATATAGATGAACCTATTTCACAATAACACAGGTGAGACAAGATTAGATAACTGTGAACACACTAAAAACCACTGAATTATACACATAAAAAGGATGAATTTTATGGTGTGTAAATTATATCTCAAAAAATTATTATAATTAATTAAAAACAGGAAAGCAAAATAAAATACTTGATAAAGATGAAAAACTGTCCCCCCAAATAAAGCAAACCACAGACAAGGAAAAGAATAAAGAAAAAGAAAAACAATGTGTCAGTGTAAGAGATCCACATGCCCAACAATAAGAGTTCTAGAGAGAGAATAATAGAAAGAATGGGGAGACAATCAAAGAAATACCCATGTTAAAGAAAAAATTCCAGAAACAAAGCCAGAATTTTCCAAATAAAAGGGCCCAACACAAGGATACAAATAGAATCCAAACCATGACACATCAATATAAAATTTCAGAACATCAGAGACACAGCAAATAGTCTATAAGAATCCTGAGAGAATAAAAAATATGTAACAAGTCATATACAAAGAATGTGGAATCAAAATGGCTTCAGACTTCAACAGCAATCAAGAAACTGAGAAGTCTAGATACCTAGAAAGCAAGCCTTCAAAATTCTGAAGACAAATGAATTATAAGTAGAAGTCTATACAAACTGTCATTCAATAGTGATAGTAAAATAGACATTTTCAAATCTGCAAAGTCTCCAGACATCCTTGCTCAGGGAGATACTGAAGGTTGTGAACAGGCTCCACACAATCATAGATAAACTGATGGAGGACAGTGAGGGGCACAGAGCAGAGGTAAAAATTCTCTAGGAAGGCAGCTGAGGGCCAGATTAGAGCTGAAGGCTCAAGAGGGAATTCTTCCCCTAAGAAAAAAAATGATACAATACCTGCTGTAATGAAAGCATTAAAAAGCAGGGAAGTGCAAGTGAATGTATAGTTGGTTTTCGTCATGCATTTAAATTTCATATTTTCCCATTCTGTTTCAACTTCTTTGCTAGTTGATCTCATTTTCCCCACCTTGCTTCCAGATGCCATCTGCACTGTAGAGTACTATGCCAGAAACATTCCAGAGACCTCAGACAGAGTCACATACTGCTGGATTCAAATTCCTGTTCCTCCACTTTCTGGCTAAGTGACTTTGGACAAATTTATTTGACTTCTCCCTGACTCAGAACCATTTCTAACTGCAGAGATAAGGAGACAAATACTAGGAGGCCACAAAACTGGCTTGCTATTAGGATTAAATAGGATGAGTTAAGTGTTTAACCCAGCCCCTAGCATAAAGTAAGCACTCCTTAACACTTTTAAGATGAATAAATTGAATTAAGGATACAATCATTAACCAGAGGAAACAAGAAAACACAGGAAAAGTAATAATAATTTACTCGAGCTTAGCTCTGAATAAACACAGTTAAGTCAGCTCCCATAGTGACCTAACTGGGGGGTGGAGCACGAGGATGAAGAAGGGATACTCAGGTGTGGTGGGGTACAGAGCAGAAAGAGAGCTCAATTCTCACCTTCCAAAGTCAGAAATCAAACGACATGCCTAAAAATGAAAAACGAGAAGTAGTGACACAAATTTACTATTTAACAATATGAAGTTCACTATGAAACTGTCAACAGCCCGGGCTGGTGTGGCTCAGTGGTTGAGTGGTGTCCCATGGACTGAGAGGTCCCAGTTCTATTTCCAGCCAAGACACATGCCTGGGTTGTGGGCTCGATCCCCAGTGGGGGGCATGCAGGAGACAGCCAACAGATGTTTTTCTCTCACATCGATGTTTCTCTCTCTCTCTCTCTCCCTTCCTCTCTCTCTAAAAAGTCAATAAAAACATATTTAAAAAAAAACAAAAACAAAAAAAAAAACTGCAAACAATGAGAAGTGCTGCATCTTGAAAAGGAGGAATGAGGGAATCTGGGGGCTGCAGAGTGTCTTAATAAAGCATGTACACCTAGCTGTCTCTCTAAAGTAAGTTCCTCTATAACTAAGAAAAATTAAAAAAACTAAATTCACAAAACTAAATGAAGATGACTTCTTGGTTTCCTACAGCATTCTAGTCTCTAACTTATTTTCTAAGGCCTAGTTGTGTGGCAGTACAAATTTGGTCAGATACTTCAGAGTCCTAATAAAACATTCTATTTTCTCCAACTTGATTCAATTGTCATTTATGTTGGGTGCAACCAAGGTCTCCCACTAATGAATCTTAAGAGTTGTGAACACTAAGCAGCCTGTGACTAAGTGGAGGGCCCTTGGAGCCCCATCCTGAACCAAATTCATTCTCAGGTGGACGTGCAGTGACCTACTTGCCTGGCCTCCAGGGAAGGAAGTGAAGTTTGGGGTACTCTTCCTCCAGAAAAGGTTATGGTGGTGTGGTTTCTTTGATTACTGCTTTTCTCCCAGCACACTGCTCTCTTCTAAATTCCTATTCCAATGTTTATTGGAAGGCTCAGATTTACTCTCAATTCTCTATCCTCTCCTCCCATAATTACCATCTTTTGTTTTTCTCTGCCTTCATATTGAGTTCCTCAAGCTATGCTTGATATTCACTGGGCCACTAACACAATTCCAAGAGGAACCCATTACACAGACTTTCTACAGTGTACTGTTTTAATTTTATCCATTCAATCTCCTCCTGAATGTCACTGTGAATATGTAGCACTGGAGAAAAAGAAATCCACTATGTGCTTCCTATCTTCCCTTCCCTTCTTGGGGAAGTGGAATCAACACTGTGTCTGAGCACACAGGGCAAGGGTAGCGGGCAACAGGACAGCCCTGGCAAGGAGCAAGCCAGCAGGCCTGGCCAGGGTAACCTAACAAAATGTTAATACTAAATACATAAAATCTATAGACACACAGCAAATAAATACATAGATAATTTGAGGAAAAGTAAATTGTCTGAGTCACTACCACTCTAACACTTCTATCATTTTGGATGAGAAGATTCTTAGTTGTTGGAGCTGTCCAGTGCATGCTCGTATATGTGGCAGCATCCCTGGCCTTTATTCACTAGCTAGCCAGCTGTGCGTACAAAAAAGCTACCACAGCAGGCCTGAGACTGCTACCCTTAGAAAAATCTGCTTGCAAGGCAGGCCCTTGGCTGGAATATGGTAACTTGAAATTCTAGAGGGCTCCCACCCGTCCCTCCAGCCTGGTCTTCCACAGCCCTTACCTTTGACTTTTTGTGCCTAATCCATCACGAACTACTTTGTCCCCTCCAAGATTTGCACATGAAATGTCCCTGTCCACAATACTTTCATTACATTTCTTCCCTCTTAATTAACTACAAATCATTCTTCAGACCTCAGTTTAGGTTTACTTCCTCTTGTGAAGCCTTCAGTTGTTCCACCTAAATGTTCAAGGTACCCTGTATATCACCCAGCATAGTACTTACTGCATTATGTTTATAATCTGGTTGCTTTCTCACTCATCTGTAACCTCACCTAGAACAGGAGCTCCATGCCTCTTCTGTTCTTGACTGTACTCCAAAACACCCCATGGCATCATAGATGCAGTGATGCTCAATAAGTGTTCTCTAAATGAATAAATTACAATTTTGTGAGCATCCTCGTAATATAACCATTTACAAATCAATATGTCTATGAGGACATTATGTGGGAAGCTCCAAATTATGAAGTTCAAATCACTGACAATTATCAATGAGAGTCCAGCACAAGTTTATATAAATAATAGGCTCAAATCTGCGCCAAGGAAAGCCAAACACCATCTATTCTGAAGCTATTCTAGTTACATTAGCTAAACAGTATATCATGTGCTTCAAATTCTCATCTGGATCCCCAAGAGTTAAAATGTCTGGCTCTACAATGAATGAATCTGGTTTAAAAAAAAGGGGGGGGGGGGTATGGGTGAGGTCTGGTGCTTCTTCTTCATCACAATAAAGTGACTTAAAACAGCTTGACTTAAAACCACTCAATTTAAGACTTGTTTACTTGTACGTAACTTCACCAGAGTAAGGTCCACATTGGTTTATAACTACCAAAGTTTGGCAACCCATATAGACATTAAGATATAGACCCCCTCATGACCATTGCAATCAGTTACAGTGAGGTGATGCGTGAGACTACTACAAGTAAAAAGATGCATAAAATGTGGCTATTTCTGAATCAAGCCATGATTTCAGCAAATGCCCTGTATCTCTTCAACCACTAAGAAAAAGAAAGCAGGGAGAAGTACGACATGAAAGGAGATTTCTGGTGCAAACAAACAACTGTTCAATTCAGAACAGGAACAGTTAGACTCCCAATACAGCTCAGAATGAAGTCTCAGCACTGATGCTAGTGCCTCCTTCAGGGAAGACGCCTGTAGTAGGCTTGCACATTTTCTGTAAGATGCAGAAGTTTCAGTGTTAAAACTACACAGTGGGATCATCTTCTCTCTGTATGGAACCTCTTAAATTTCTATCTTGCATGACTTTTACCGGAACAAAGAACTTGCTGTTGTACTATGGAACTCCTATAGAAACATCTTTCCTAAGGCGGTTACTGACAAATGTAACTGCCTGTTCTCAATTCTCATGCTTTCCCAAACTGATTTCCTATACACTTCCTGTTTCTCTCTCTATCTGTTTCTCCTTTTCTCATCATTCCAAGCTTGCCTTGTCATTACCCAGCTGGTTTTTCTTCACTGAATCCTCATGATGGCATGTAGTCCCATGAATTGCCACAAAGGCTTTCAAAGTTTCTTTTAAGAGACAGAACACGCGCTTCCATTCTCCCATGGCTCTCCAAAAGAATTCTTACAATGACTCCAGTGCCCGTCTAACCTGGCCTCTTCTCTACTTCTTTGGACATACATGTTAGCGAACCCAGGAGGCACTGTGCTTCACAAACAACAAACCTGAAAACAGTTGAAAATCTTCAGTTCTGACGTCATTCCAAAACTTCAGTCCCACGTTTCCAATACCTCTACTGGCTTGCATTCACTTCTGTCTCTACCAGTTTTCAAAGCCACTTGAATTTTAAATCTCTGTACCTTCTATTTCCTTGACCTGAGATCTGTCCACTGTGTATTTTCTCATAACCAGAACCTTTCTCTTCTCCATGCCCAGGTTCAGGAAATTTCAATTAATCCAGGCTTTTATTAGCACTAGTATGCATTAGTAAAATAATTTACCAGAGCTAGTTGCACATTCTCAATCCATCCAGCACACCACCACCTGTTATTTTTACTATAAGCACTGCTCTTGTGTGGTTAACTATGCAAAACCTTTCACTATTCCATAACGCTGACAGAAAAAAGAACAAAATTTTAAGGTGGTAACCATTCAAGGTCCCCTATAACTTGCCATGAATCTACTTTTCCAGCCTTCCTCTGTAATATTAAAGATTTGTTCCAGAGACCCTACTTACCCTCTTCTCCTAAAAAGACATTTCAGGCAACAGAAAACCCAAATGCAAAGGTGTGTCCAGATCTAGGGACGAGGCCTGCAAGCTAAGGCCCTTTGTCTGTTTTTATAAATATTTTAATGGAACACACCATACCCATTCCTTTAGTATTATCTGTGGCTGCTTTTACACTACAATGGCAGAGTTGAGTAGTAATGAACAAAACCACTCACAACACCAAATATTTATGAGCTTGCTTCTTACAGAACAAGTCTCAAGATACCTGGGTTTAGAGGTCTAACAGGATTACCTCTATTAGTGTTCTGGGAACTAACAGTGGAAATGTGGCAAGTGTAGAAGGAGGGAAACTCCTTAAGAGGCTACTGCAATAATTTCCAGGCCACAGATTATAGTGGATCACACAAGTGTGGAGGCAGTGGAGATGGTGAGAAGTGAATGAATAACCTAGGTACAACCAACAGAATCAGCTGGATTAAATGCAGGTTTAAGAGAGAGGAGCCAAGGATGACATCTAGTTTCTGGCCTAAGCAACCAGAAGGATACACAGTTGCTACTTTTGAGTAAGATGGGGACTATTATGAGTAGACCAGGTTTTTGAAGGAAGATCAGACCCAACTAAAAATAATAATTCACTCCATTTGCTTTCTTACACAAAAGCCTCCAATGACATTATTCTTTCAAAGTCAAAATCCTTACAATGGCTACAAGGGCCCACATAATCAGGCCTTCCTTTTTGTGACTCCATCAGATTCCCTGACTGCTATAAATGGTCCCCTCCAAAATTATTATGTTGACATCTAATCTCCAATATGATGGAATTTGAACTTGGAGGAGGGCTCCCTGGGAGGTGCTGAAATCATTAGGGCAGATCCCTTATGAATGGAATAATGTCCTTATAAATGAGACCCTAGAGCTCTCTCTTCCCCCTCTGCCATGAGGACTAACAAAAGACAGTCATAAACCAGGAATTGGGCCCTCACCAGCACCAAATCTGCTGGTGCCTTGGTCCTGGACTTCCCAGCCACCAGAACTGTGAGAAGTAAATTTCTGTTACTTACAGGCCAACCAATTTATAGTACTGTTATAGCAGCCCTGAACAGATGAAGACACGAACATTCACTCTACCCCAGAAACATGGCCTCCTTGCTTTTCCCAAGCACACTGAGCAAACTCCTGTGTCAGGCCTCCACACCTGACTTTTCCACTGTCCAAGATGCTTTTCTCCCAAGATATCTACAGAGCTTATTCTCTCACCTTGCCCCTCCAACCTCATACAAACATAACCTTTTCTGTGAGATCTTCCCAGGACTCCCTAATTACCCCAGCCAATGGTCCCTTCCAACCCCAAATGTTATCCCCGCTTCTCTGCTTCATTTATCTCCAATGTATTTATTACCTTCTCAGGTAACTTGTTTAATTTGTCTCCTCCCCCCACCTCCTAGAATGGAAGCTCCAAGACACCAAGGGTATTTGTCTTTCCCCTTTACTGCTATAATCACACTGCCTGAAACACAGCATGTGATCAATAAATATTTGTTGAATGAACTGGCCCCCAAAAATATATAATTTATTAAAGATTCACGATAACTTCACTCGTGTTCCCAGGATTTTGAGAGGCAAAAAAAATTAAACTATATTGCAAATGATTTATATGCAACTCAACTCAATGGTTTTATTATTAGTTTTCTTTCTATTCCAGAGTGCCAGTGTATGGCTCCTTTTTCTCCCTCCTCTGCTCTCAGCAATTAAAATGGTTGAGATCAGTTCATAGATAACACACACACACACACAGCTTCTCTTGGTGGTCTATCAGTCTTACATTTCTTTCTGGTCTCATTTCATCAGCACTCTCCCCGTGCACCATGCTCACACCAACCAGACCCTGTTCTGCTCCTGAAAGACACTGTGCTCCTTCTCACTTCAGTAACCTTTCCACCTGTTAATCCCTCTATCTAGAAAGCTCCTCCCACACCTATTCTAGTCTGCTCCTTCTCATCAAGATCTCCCAATGTCACCTCCTAAAAAAACACCGTGCCTGCCACCTCAGTCAAGAGACTAAACCACAATTTCAACTCCTTTATTTTCTTCCTAAAACGTAAAACCTTCTAAGGTCTTATTTGCATACATATATCTTACTTATGAGAGCAGATCTTATCTATTTTGTTCACCACTATGCGGCCCTCTGCCTAAACACTATATAAAATAGGTGATGATTTAACCTAATAGGTGAGGGTGGACAGCTCACTGCACTATTAAAGACACTGACGGGAAGAAGTTGGGACACCCGACGTCAGACAGCGAGGAGGGTCTACCTGGAAATGAGTACTTGGGACTATTTCCACTACTTCACAAGACCTGGAGCCAGACACTAGTAACTCCTCTTCTGCCACCATAGAAAACAGTCCATGCAGCCGTTACAAATTTCCAGTATCTGCATGATAAATGACCTTTCAGCCAACCCGTTCGTCGCATAAGTTTCTGCCTCCAGGCAAGAAATATTTAAAGACAGGCCAGAACAAGCAAAAAACCTTAACCTTGATCCTATCACTCACCAACCTAAATGTAAGCCTGGGGAGCCCTGAGGCTGGGTAAGTGAAGGAGGGGGCCCTACAAAACTCGCTTACTCCGCCACCGCCCCCCCCCCCGGAAATGAATCCTGGGTTCCCGTCCTAAATAAAGCAAAGGAAGCCGTTCCCAAAACAACTGCTGTAGAAAGAGAAGGGAGAACCCGGGGTGGGGAGTGAGGGAGGAAAGCTCCGCCGAGGAGGGGAGCTACGCGCGGAGGCGCAGCCCTTGCGTCCGGACCCCAGCCCCGCGTCCAGGTGCGCCCACCGAGCCCCTCCACGCCCTGGGCTCTGGGAGGGCGCCGCACCTGCTGCAAGGAGGCGCAGCCCTGACACCGCGAGAGATCCGCCGCCGCCCCAGGAGCCGCCGAGTGGGTCTCGCCCGGCATCATGGTGCCGCCGCCGGGCCCGGTGGGCCCGCGCGCCTCAGGGACCCGCGGCCTTGGCCCTGTATTGCCTCTGCTGACGCCGCCAGGGCCGCCGCCTGCCAGGCCGCTTCCCGCCGAGTCTGGGCGGGTCCATCCGTGCACAGAAGTCTCCGTGGAGCGGGCTAAGGGATCTCCCAGCCAGAGCTGCCTCGGGCACTAGAGAGGAACG